TGGATAAGAAATAACGGAATTATATGTACGAAGTTTGGAAGTTACGTCAGTGCCCTGATGTGACTGACTTAATTTCAATATAGGACTCTTTGCACAGAAGTGCAGCAGTCCAAGTTGCAACACTCCATGTAGCACACAAAAACAGATAGAAGTAAAGCGATTCAAAAGAACTATAAAAAGCAGATATGTGAAGGAGAAAGAATAGTAACACAGAGAAAATATGACAGTTTAGTGGAAGTGAGAGATTAGGGAAAGAAAATGCATCCATTTTATTGAGGCGAATTTTAAACCGTGTCTTCAATAGTATCCGGTCATTGGTTTTAGTCTACCCAAAGATCCCGACCAGGCAGTCTGTATCTTCCTGGGTGGCTAAAACCAACTGTCGAAGAATTCATCGACTAATTCCAGGTTTAAATTGACTATCCCTAATTCTTTTGCAATCCAATCCTATATCGACTAAAAGTGCCCGACAAGGAATGCGCAACTGGTCCTAGCCATCTATTCACCTACACAATTTAATTAACTGTCTTACCCACATCATTCAACACTCTACACCTAAGCTCGATGCTCTTCAAAATATCATACTAATTACCACAGGAAATAGAACAAAATATCTTTGGTCTTTTCATACATTCCACTTTAAGTAACCATCCCTTACATCCATAAAACAGCACACAGCGAACTGGTGTGGAGTTCACACATCCTTTATTCAATATCCAGATAGCACACCTACGCTAGAAGTGATTTCACTTCAAATGGAAACTCTCCATAAGCTCTAAAACGGTTGCGCGAGTTCGAGTAGAGTGCCTTGATTAGTACGAGATACTTTCTCGTCATTCCCTTCAGTCACAAATCGCAACATCACCTCTCGGTTAACGAAGTAGAAGGCCACCTTCAGGTCAAGAAAAAAGCGAATGGTCGAACGCTGCTAACTATTTCTACATTTGTATTCATCAAAACGTATTGAATTGAAACATCGGGTTTATGACAGACACAGTAATCACCATTATCGCTTGTCTACGCCAACAACGTGAGAACAGCGAGAACACACTGACATTAGATGGAAAGTAGTAGTATCTCTATAAAAAAGTGGTATATATATATATATATATATATATATATATATACACATGGCGAATGACTTAGGTGTGAGTAATCATAATCCATTGTTTATCTGTAAATTTCCAGACTGAACCTCGATTACTATATCAGCCATGTTCTAGGATCTGTCAGAGTGAATATATGATCAATGCAGCTGCTTCCTGGTATAAATTGTGGTTGGCTTTCCAGGTGATTTTTTTTCGGCTAGGCACCACTTGGTCTTCGCCTGATTATTGGGCCAGAGAAGTCAAGCTTACCTCCCTGCGATTATCACAAGAGAGCTGTGAATTTGTGTATGTTCTTTGCTTCCTCGTGTTTATTCATTTAGGTCAGTTCATTATGGAGTCAGCTGCTCCTCCTACCCATCGATTTTATAAAACAACTCAGAAAAGTATGCCTAAAACATTCCATAAAGCCTTGAAACGTGATGTAAGTTTTTATTTTACAAAATATGTTAAAAACTGATTGTATTCTGACTAGGTTTCAAAATAAGACATTGCAAAGAAGTGCAGCACTCCAAGTTCCCACACTCCATTTAGCACATTAAGTCAGAAAATATAGAAGAATAGATTCAGAAGGACTGTAATGATCAGAAATCAATGAGAGAAAAAATAGTAACATAAAAAAGCAAGAGGATGTGGGGTATCACATAGAATGAAAGCCTCTGTAAAATCGAGAACGATTCTGAGCCATATCTGCAGTAGACTTCAGCCATTAGTTTTGATCTTTCCTATGAGCCCAACCAGGCAGCCACTATATCAAATATTTGTGGTCAAAGACAGCTAGTATTTTCATATCTTCATTTCAAATTACCGTGTCTCACAGCCATAAAAAAGGACAGAGCGAACTGGTGTGTAGTCCACATGTGACATAACAAATGCTATATTAACCTTTAATATTCTTGCTGAGATATCGCTCTCAATTAGTCCACTAAGACTGACGCGACTAACCAAATAATTGAATTCAGGATTTCATCATGAGCTGACAGTAGTTAGAGAACCATTGGAAAACCTGGGAGTACTGGACAGCTGTTTTGTCCTAGTTTGGGATTCCTCAGCAGTACGCACCCACCGGGATTCGAACCCAGGACCTTCCGGTTACAAGGCGAGCTCGTATACCATTAATGGTATAGGTTTTCCAATGGTTCTCTAACTACTGTCAGCTCATGATGAAATCCTGAAACCAATCAAATCCCTACAAACCAACACTTGAATACAAATAATTGAAATTGTCAACATGGTTCAGACCATTCCTTTAGCATCACCTTAGATTTGACAGTAGAAAACCGTGCGCCAAGCATTCGAAGATTTCTGCTCATGGTGTTCAAAAGGCTATGTATTTCACCTGCATCTTCACGTCTACAACGTGAGAACAGCGAGAACACACTGACATTAGATGGAAAGTAGTAGTAGTAGTAGTATCTCTATAAAAAATTAATGATTTATATATACACATGGCGAATGACTTAGGTGTGAGTAATCATAATCCATTGTTTATCTGTAAATTTCCAGACTGAACCTCGATTACTATATCAGCCATGTTCTAGGATCTGTCAGAGTGAATATATGATCAATGCAGCTGCTTCCTGGTATAAATTGTGGTTGGCTTTCCAGGTGATTTTTTTTCGGCTAGGCGCCACTTAGTTTGCACCTGATTATTAGACCTTGACCTTTAGATACTATACTTGTCAAGCTTATTCCAAGTGAACTTGTCTCTCTTCACATAAACAGAGACTCTCAGTGAGTTGGAGTCCCTTAAATTACCTAATATACTAATTAACCCAAACGTTTCCTCACCACTGTCCTTAAATAATATTGCAGTCTTTCCATCAGGTCTTGCTCTTGATGTCAGCAATGAATTGTGCGAAAAAAGTCAACAGTGAATAATACAGTATGAGTGTGTTTTTCGTTACGTAAAATTAATCTATGTTAAAATTATTTATACTACCACACTACCCAAATTCTATTCTTATATCGGTCACCTACTATCTTGTAGAAAAACAAATGAATTTTCACACCATGCTTGAGGTGACTAATCTATGTATTCTTGCCCACCCTACTTGTTGCAAACAGCCTTTCTGACTAGTGGTTAGATGAAGAAACTGGATAAACCGTAGAAACATGTTGCTAAGGGAGGGATTGAGATATGGGGAGAACAAATGGGATAATACTACTCGTCTCAGTCTAAACGAATGGACTGCAAACGCGTTTCAGCCAATTTGTGAATGCAAGAGCATACGAATAGTCATAATAAAAGAGTACTAGTGCTGGTCTCTGTCCAGTTCAAAGATGAAATGCTGATTTGTTATGCGACGACAAATTCACAGAAAACCTCTTATGGGTAGCAGCAATGTTGGTTTTGAGGAAGGATATCCCCATATCTGATGTATCGCAGAAAGAGTGATGAAGACAGTTGATAACTTACAGCCGAAAGTTGGAAAGTAAAGTGAATCTGGGGGATACACCAACTGGAAAAAGGAAATAAAAGCTGCTTAAACGTAAACTGATTGAAGGTATTCCTAATAGCAATAAACAATGTGAGGCTAATGAAAAGGAGGAAGAAAGAAAAGGCTATCAGTAGTGTACCAACAGAAGACAAGGGTCAGGCAACAGATCGTTTATTGAGAAAATCAACAGATATTTATTATCACTGGATAAGCAACGTCTTCTGATTGGTTGTTTTCTTGCTGAAGGTTATTCTGTAATGCTTGTGACCGTCTCTCGGGAATTTAAGCCCTACATCAGCGAATCCTATTTGCACACGTTAAGTCTACTGTGATTGGTTGGTGAGTTCCCCAAGGGTAAGCCTCGTTATTGTCTTTCTCATGCCCCCGATTCGGGACGTAAACATTCACGTAAATTGTTGTCTACAGTTTTATCTTGCAGCCAGCTCTCACCACCATAGTAGTAGGCTTGATAGTACTTATCAACTATTTCGTTTTATTAAGCAAGCAGTTCTCAGAAAAAAATTAGATAAGTGAATTAATGACTTCACCCTACAGATATCATACGATGAAACACGATTTACCTACATGAATACTTAGTGTAAGGTCACGGGTGATGAAGTTGATTCACTGATTTCTGAATTTGGATGGGCACAAATGCAATGATTTCTGATAAAATATTAGTACAAACGTAAGTGGCTCGTCTCACATTTGTGAACTTGCATCTTCCCAAAAGCAGTCATACGATTGTTGGCATTAACTAGAAAAGTCCATGTTGAAAAATTAGCATGAGATTGAAACAAAGAGCAAGTAATACTGAGGTTAGACCCGTGAATCTAAGTCGACGAAATTATTCGGAGTATACATTTTTACCACTAACGCATGGCTTAATATGATATAAGAAGGACTGAAATGAAAAGATTGGGCATCATCAGAATGCTAAGTATTTGTCGATAAACACTCTTGGTAACACGGTTCACTTCTTATCGTCCCAAAATTGTGAACGTCTTCAATTGAGTATTATGAATCCATTCAAAACCATAATTAACCATAAAGGAATGTTCATTTTTTGTTCTCTATCGAGGTATCATACCTTAAACTGATCCACATTTATGCGAAGTCCCACGCCAGTTAGTTCATCAGACTGCCAATTCGACTGGAAAATAATTATGACTGAAAACAGATATCGATCCGATGAAAAACGTCTATTCAGTTTGGGGAGGAAAATGACTTCCTTTAGTACTTCAGCCCTATATACATTTTGAAGATTACCACCTATTAATAAGGCATTACAAGCTACGTTAAACTACATCTGCTCTGATCATTCAGCAAATATCTCTTGGGAGATAATGTAATTGTACGCATATACACTCCAACTACAGGGCATATTCTTATACAATTTTCAGAAATGACAATAACACAATAATTCGTTCAAAAGTTAAGCAATTGCACAGATTGAGTCATAAATTACTTTATTATAACTATCATAGTTAAGAATAATAGTTTTAATGAACAAAACTCTCAGATAAGACCCGATATCTAGAAATTAAGACGGTGTCAAGGTTTACAAAACAGAGATAATCTTGCAGAAAAAAAAGTAAAAATGACAAAAAAAAGCACAATGTCAGCCAAAATGAGTTTAAGAAATAAACAGAAACAGCAATGAAAATGCAATCCCTCGGTATACAAACAAGCTGACACCTACACACACGATTGTGATACAATTGCATAAAAATAGCGCAAGCAAAAAGGAACAGTCTTCTGGTTGCTAAAGCGTATTTGTAAATAGTGGAGTAAATTAAGCAATATTTATTTATTCAACCACATCTAGTGATGATATCAAATTAGACAATACACTTGAATGTCTTTTGATAGAGAGCTGAAAGCCCTTGGAAACAGGAGGTAGTGGAAATTCAGGGAAATGCTTATCTTTACTATTCTGGTCAAGATTTTTGATACGTTCATACTCTGCAGAATCCAGTGAAGCCCAAAATGCCAATGAGGACAGGTAACTGGAAAATAGAAAACGGTATTACATCAAATTAAGTTGTATAAATATCGATAGAAAAGCGAAAATCTATTATTTCCAAGCATCTCAGAATTCCAACAATCATGCATTCACTAAAATGAGATTTTAATGTTGTGTTCTGTGAGCTGGGTGGTTTAAGTGAGAAGCTTCTATTGTAATTTCCAGATATCTTCAGCATTAACTTTATCACGATGTGGGATTTTCACATTGTACATAGATGAAATAACTGTCTTCTTCAGGGACTCTGAGACTTAACTGATCCTCTCCACTATATTCATTTGTATTGCTTATTGACTGTTTTGTAGTCTTAGTGTCTGACTATGCACCACATTATTCTTTGCTTGATAAAACTGGTCTGCATGAAAATCTATCTCCTTTAAGTACAGAATAATATGAGTATTTGGCTTTTAGGAATTCCCTGACATTTTTAGTATTTCCTGTTTAGAATTTGTACATTTCTCCAGTCGTAAAAATACCAAGGCTCTTAGAAGCCTGGTACTCGGATCAACCTGCACTTAACTGAAGTGTTGATATAGATGCAAATCAATGATCACTAACAAACGAGTCACAGAAACAAAAAGTCAAATATCAGATTAACAAAACGACCAATAAAAGCGAACAGAATAATAAGAAAAATTCTAAAGGTAACCAGCAAAGGTTATTTCATCTATGGAGAATTCTAAAAGCCCACTTCGTTGTAGAGTTGGCACTGTAGATGTCTAAAAAATTATCAGTCTCGTAAATAAGCAGGGTAGCTTAAAGAACAAAACACCATCAACATCATGCACCTGGATTAAAAAAATTCTCCATCACTAAGACAAATTAAATTCAGCCAATGGGTAGGAAGAAAGCACTAGTGATGCGATTACTGAGATGATTTTGGATGAATAAACCCCTTGATTGTGGAAAAAGACTGCACAATAATCAGTCATGCAAAATCTAAGATACCTAGAAACATTACAGTAATAATTGGTTAAACGAATGTGGTAGGTATTTACTGAGCCAACTAGGCTTCCTGTCGATTATCTCGAACCACCTAATAAGCCAACTAAATTGGTTAAAAGACATGACTTGGGGTTGTCAAGATATGTATATACTGTTTCAACAGGTTTTCTTTCTTAGAGTTGTTTCACGTCGATGCGTTGTAGACACTGTCATCCACAAAGTCCTAGTACCGACTACTACACGATGCTGTCACTGCACCTTATTGATGGAAAGACGACAGTAGTGCAAGAATACAAAAAAGTCTGGAAAGATGTGTATTTGGAACAGTCTTATCGAACTGCTATACAATTCATCGCACCGAAACAGTTCATAATTCCAAACAGATTAACAGCTATTGCTGTTACCTGCAGTCAGTATATTACCAAAAAAAAGACAGACGACCAGACACCTATGAGGTTTAGATACGTTTTTGGAGGGAGCTATTGGATTACAATACTTCAGTGGGATAATAGCCAATAGAATTCAAGTATGAAATGACGTAATCTTACTTCAATTGAAATACATTAACGACTTTCAAGAAATTAATATGTGAATTCATAATACCATATAAAATTTCTCGAAGCGAAAATTGATGGAGTGATTTTGTTTAATATGGGGAAATAAAAGCCTGACGTTTTTCACACTGCACTTGATGCGCATCAGCCAAATTCACAAGAAATTTAAAAAAGAAATAAACATATAACAATGTGATAAAAGCATTACCATGGAGAAGTATGTCAGCAGAAAGTACTATTATTCTTTAAAAGTATATAATTCCATTAAATATATGTGACGAGAACAGGCTTAAATATATAAACATATAACTTACTCTTTGTGCTTTTCAACACAATGTTGAATAACCTCCTTACGGAAAATAGGTAAAGGATTTTGCAAAATACTGATCATTGACTGCAAATTGAGAGCTATCACAGCCTCGTTATAAATACGACTTTGTTCTTGATATGATGGGACTGAACGTCGTTCTTCATAGCCAGCCTCGTTGAAATACGGTTCAGAGTTGAGAATCAATCCTGTTTGTAAATCAAAAAGTAAGTTACGAAATTTAATATTTCTGCATACTTCAACTTGCTATTCGCTTGACAATAAGTAAAAGTAAGGGATGATCAGATTAAATTTAACAGATAAGATGAATAAGCCAATTAGTTAATTAAAAGACTTATGAGTTAAAGGCTTATAAATTATGAAATCAAAATAAGCATTTTCAAATGAACTTTTTTTTATTTCGCAACATGCATTCTTTTTTTATACTGAATTATAATATTTCTCACCTTGAAGTGAAACAACTAATTGAAGTAAGCTGGAACTATCTGAGTTCCAATTCTCAGTACCCTCACCATCCCATGTGCCTAGCAGAGAAAGACAGATATGTCCATCAACGTACAAATTCGGATTAACTCTCTCGCTGCCAAAACTATAATAGTGTACCTAAATTGTAAGTAGATAACAATGTGGGAAACACTAAATTAAAAGTAGAACAACATGAATCGAATCATAATGGAGTAGTTTTTAATTTTAAGAATCAGTTAGATATTATTCCACTGATTTTGAGTGATAGACGTATTCATTCTAATAGAAGTGAATTAGAAGATATGGCGATACACTGTAAATAGTCTCGTGCAGCATTTTCAAACTGCGTATGTACACACTTATGTCCATATCAGCATGATAAGGATGCGCATCACGATAGTAAAGTAAATTTTGTCACACAGACAAAGAAAAGAAATGAAATATGTCAGTAATAATGGATGATCCCGTGTATATGAGCCTTAGTAATAGACATAGTAAAATTTAGGTGCTTCGTAACAAAGCACTCCTAAATGGAGTACAAAAAGCATACACTATTGATTCATGCGGAAAACTCAAAAAGGCTAGATCACATTTGCTCACATACACTAAAAATTGGAAAAGTAATAATCACAACTACACTTAAAGATGAGCAGGTAATAAATCAGTTAAAAAATGGAAGTCTTTGTGGTCTTCCGGGTTTGTCTAGCAATGAAAAAAGACACATCACTGTCTTGAATTCATAGAACAAATAACTTTGAGACACCTTATTACATCCAACGTATTATCTAAGGCGACACAAGTAGTATTTTAGTTCAAGACGAAGGATCGTATCTTTTTTTTAAATGACCGTTTTCTCTCATCAATTCAAAACCTGTACAAAAAAACCACTTCGGTAAAGTGGTTATTCTAATTACTTTCATTTTTTTTAAATTTCTTTTTGTCCAAAATCTAACTGTTACTAAAATTAGGCTAAAGAAGAGATTTAACTGAATGAGGTCAAATAGGAAGGAAAAATTATAGAATAAAATGATAAAGCTCAAAAACACGTGAGTTATAATGCCATATTAGATCCTACTAAATCCTAAAGTGTACAGAAAATCAATTGGATTTTTGCAATTCGTTCTGTTTAAATATTTATTCAGTGTATATATAGGAAGTGAGCTTAAATTGCCAACACATTAAAAAACAAACACATTTCAATGATAAATTGATTTTGAACTATAACCTTAACCAGCAAAGAACACATCATATGATTTAATCACAGTGAAGAATTAGGAATTATGAAGAGACAAATATTATGACTTTTTATTACTACAACGAGTGTATTCTCATTTATAACAGAATAATATGGGAGAACGAAAAACATTGTCAAATCCCACAGATAATAAGATGAATAACATATTGAAAAATAATAAGAGAAAAGTGTTCAAATAGCTAGACAGATGAACTTTTCGAGAAAAAACAGTACTCAACGCCTAAATACTTGATTGAAAAATCAACGTAGAAATTCATATACAAATTTATCAATTCAAGTTGCTGGAATTCAAAAATGCACAAATAAGGGAATAAGACAGAATAGAAATATAATATTACAATATACAAAAAATGCATGAAACTAAATGATTAAGTAGACAATACTTAGGATATTCAGCTGGTAAGAATCATATAAAAACAGAAGTAATGCGTAGATTTTTGAAACATGTCACCAGTCAGTCAGTCTAAATCTTTTCTTTTTTTTTGATTGCAGCTTGATTCCACACAGTACCTTTTAGATATGATAGAGAAGATTTGTAGCTCAGGTGGATAATTTTGATGTGGTTTTGTTCTCTGAGCTGGATGGTTAAGTTTGCGAAGCTTTCATCGCTTTCATCAATTTGAAGACTTCAAACTGAAGTATGCGCTGAAGATGTCACCCAGTAGGGCGATGAAAGCTTCGCAAACTTAACCATCCAGCTCAGAGAACAAAACCACACCAACAGTACCTTTTCTTTAGTGGATGTAAAGAATTTTCAGCATGTGACATCGGTAGCCCATATTTTGCAGGCCAACCATTGGTACCGAGTGTATGTCGGCAGGATATCGAAACCGGACCATATCCATGGTCGGCGAGGGTACTAACCACTGTGCCACCGACGCACAAATCTACCAATATAACTTGAGAACACAGATGAATTAGAATAGTGAGATTGGGATTTTCAAGTGAGTACCATTGGCTTTAATCGCTGCACATAACAACAACGTGTACATACTTATAAATAAAGGTGAAATGTCGATTCCAGAATGCTTTACAGAAGAAACTCCACAAAGTAATGATAAATCACAAACACAGTGGTCCCGTGTTGATTGCAAACCTTGATAAGTCTTCTAAATACGAATTCAAGATCCGTTTTACAATCATATTTCACTACTATACACCAACCAAATATGAACTTATGCTCAAATGTTCCCTCATTTACAAATTCAATAGAGTCGAAGTTATCAGATGCATTGATTAGTCGAACTAGCTAACGTTTGTCATAGCTAACTGAGTACAACTCGTGATAAAAGTTTCCAAAAGTAATAAAATGTACTATAATGTGATACATTACATATAAATATGATTGTAAATGAAATAATGCTTTTTTTAAATGTTGATGTAAACTGTTCTGATCCGAATACAACAGACCTATCGATTAGATTTTCACACAGGAGTACTCCATTATTGAAATGAACCTGATGAGGGGAAAAAATGACTACTGTCGTAGAGTTCAACGATGGAATGAAACAGCCTTCAGGTGTCTACTTCATTGAGAATGTTACATTATAAATTGAGCTAACTTCAGGAGTACAGAATAATAAAGACGAATATACTAGCATACAATTTCAAATAGATTTATGCATCAAATATACTAGGAATGCAGGAGGCGAATATATTGTGTGAATATTTACAAATTTCCCACTATTTAGAGTTTTTTTTTTAAATGCACTCCAAATTTACCAAAAGCTCTAGCAAGATGACAATAGTCATATACATCAATGAATGTACTTTTGAAATCCAAAACAAGCAGTATTTGTTGAATTAGTCGAAAGTCAAAGATAGAAAATTTTTCGCATGTAACCTATAAAGTAAGGTCAAGCCGTCCCAAGGTGTCCCGGATACATCTCCTGTATCTGTAGGGACGTGAAGAGAATTTGTTGAGAAGGATACACTGCGTTCAGATCGACTTTTAATTCAATTAAACTATGATACATAAAGTAATTTTTATTGAGAAGATGAATATGCATAAGTTGTCTAAATAAACGTATAGGTTTTAGAGTTCACTATTTGAACTATTGAGAAAGTTGAAATAAGAAGACAGTCCAGATTAACCTGCATATATACCAACAAATCGCTAGTACAAATAACACGAAAAAAACTAACACATTCGCAGTCAAATACAAATCAGTGATAATTACCTGTGGTGGAATTGCTGGGTAACTCGATGGTAGACCAATATCAAAGAAGAACAAACAGTGTTCATATGGCGTACCTGATGCCCCGATAATCATTATGGAATAAAGGTCAAAGCGATCCTCAAATCCCTTGACTATGATATTATTTGGAAGTATAGTGGACAGTAAAGAGATCTATAAAATACAATAATGATAGTGATAGCATTAGTAGTTTGCAGTAGGTAAATACGACGTAAATGTGCGTTACTAGTTTATAAAATGATGATAATAAGCTCGTGATTTACGTATCTGGTCTTATGACTGATGCCACACAGAAAAAAAAAGCAATGCACAGAAGTTGAAATCAGGAAGCACAGATCTTGTAATAATAATTACAGTGCCACCCGACTAGATAAGGTTTTAATGATCAAAGTTGCAGCTGCATTTTGAAAGAACCTAAATAATCTTTCCTCATTTCAAAGTCAGTCATATCAGGTTATTTTAACATACTTATACTGAGAACCTACAATTACAGCAACTACGCGAAAGGTCAATTAGCAGTGATGGATATTGGCATACCTACACAATAATGCGTGGATACGGTGAAAAACATACGGCTGAGTCATATAGTCTACTTGAGATACATGAAGGGATGATGAAATGAAGCAACTAAAAAACAAGGCTATAAGCCCATTAACAGTAGATTAATGGAAGCGGATTAAAATTATGCCATATAGAGAAATAACTGTCTCAACCTAGTGAAATAAAAACTAAAGATACAAATCGATCAGTAACATTAACTCGAAAACAACTAGCATTCCCGTACAACTAGCCATGATCCACAATTACTGAGTGAGGATTAGAGAAATCACTTGCCTATCCGAACCACAGTAAGCAGAGAGGAACTAGACTTCTTCACTTGTTGGTTGATAGTACACCGTCGAGAAAAATAAGGCCAACTCAAATATTAGGCAGTGTCTGGAAATCATATATAGCTCCTTCACACTAGTGCAAGTCAATGATTATCTCAGTTTACAAGAAGGGAGACCAGCTCTCTTGTGATAATCGCAGGGAGGTAAGCTTGACTTCTCTGGCCCAATAATCAGGCGAAGACCAAGTGGTGCCTAGCCGAAAAAAAATCACCTGGAAAGCCAACCACAATTTATACCAGGAAGCAGCTGCATTGATCATATATTCACTCTGACAGATCCTAGAACATGGCTGATATAGTAATCGAGGTTCAGTCTGGAAATTTACAGATAAACAATGGATTATGATTACTCACACCTAAGTCATTCGCCATGTGTATATATAAATCATTAATTTTTTATAGAGATACTACTACTACTACTACTTTCCATCTAATGTCAGTGTGTTCTCGCTGTTCTCACGTTGTAGACGTGAAGATGCAGGTGAAATACATAGCCTTTTGAACACCATGAGCAGAAATCTTCGAATGCTTGGCGCACGGTTTTCTACTGTCAAATCTAAGGTGATGCTAAAGGAATGGTCTGAACCATGTTGACAATTTCAATTATTTGTATTCAAGTGTTGGTTTGTAGGGATTTGATTGGTTTCAGGATTTCATCATGAGCTGACAGTAGTTAGAGAACCATTGGAAAACCTATACCATTAATGGTATACGAGCTCGCCTTGTAACCGGAAGGTCCTGGGTTCGAATCCCGGTGGGTGCGTACTGCTGAGGAATCCCAAACTAGGACAAAACAGCTGTCCAGTACTCCCAGGTTTTCCAATGGTTCTCTAACTACTGTCAGCTCATGATGAAATCCTGAATTCAATTATTTGGTTAGTCGCGTCAGTCTTAGTGGACTAATTGAGAGCGATATCTCAGCAAGAATATTAAAGGTTAATATAGCATTTGTTATGTCACATGTGGACTACACACCAGTTCGCTCTGTCCTTTTTTATGGCTGTGAGACACGGTAATTTGAAATGAAGATATGAAAATACTAGCTGTCTTTGACCACAAATATTTGATATAGTGGCTGCCTGGTTGGGCTCATAGGAAAGATCAAAACTAATGGCTGAAGTCTACTGCAGATATGGCTCAGAATCGTTCTCGATTTTACAGAGGCTTTCATTCTATGTGATACCCCACATCCTCTTGCTTTTTTATGTTACTATTTTTTCTCTCATTGATTTCTGATCATTACAGTCCTTCTGAATCTATTCTTCTATATTTTCTGACTTAATGTGCTAAATGGAGTGTGGGAACTTGGAGTGCTGCACTTCTTTGCAATGTCTTATCTTGAAACCTAGTCAGAATACAATCAGTTTTTAACATATTTTGTAAAATAAAAACTTACATCACGTTTCAAGGCTTTATGGAATGTTTTAGGCATACTTTTCTGAGTTGTTTTATAAAATCGATGGGTAGGAGGAGCAGCTGACTCCATAATGAACTGACCTAAATGAATAAACACGAGGAAGCAAAGAACATACACAAATTCACAGGTAAGATAGTCTGTAAAGATAGTGAAAATGTATATATATACTCATAATTGTAGATAAGCTATGGGAATTCTAAATGCTAAGTAGCCTGGATCCAAACGATAAACAACAGGGTAACCCACAGGTCTTCCCTTTTTTTACAGCAGGAAAACTAAAGGCGTATTATAGCAACACAAAATTAGCACAATACGCTACGTTCTATCTGCGTCTTTAAATAATAATAATAATAATAATAGTAATAATAATAATATGGACTCAATTCTTTTCTTTATATGTTCAGGCATTTTCATGTTTATACCGACTTGATAAACAATGCTGTATATCTGCGCATAAGACTATCAGTTATAATTACTGTGTAATGACTCAAAATAATCGGAGATCCAAGTGTTAATTAACATACTTTGAATCCACGATTCAATGTCTGATATTCATATACTCAGAGATCATTGAACAACAAGTTCGACACGCTCTGATTTATCTACCTCAACTTTCGATCGATCTTAGACAATTAATAGGTCCCAAAACGAAGCATCTCTAATAGATAACACCATATACAAGATTAAATTTATTGTATTAGTTCAGCATATGACAAAACCTTTCCAATATTGAATTAATTCTATACAACTACTGGTTTACTCGAAACACTTATGTCACACATGTCACAGTTCACTGGGCACGTACGTGGTGACGCGTTATTTAGTCTGGCGACTACACTGCAAACTTGACTGACAAAATTCAGTCAGCACCAACACTGAAAACCAGAGATATAATATTGGTTACACCCCAGTGACTAGTTAAAATACAGGAGATTTCACTTAACAACCAGATGAAATGTCTTAAGATGTACGCTTGAAATTCTTCAGAAAGTCAAAATATAAATTTTTCAATCTTTTTGTATACATAGAGCACGGTTCCTGAAGAAGAGTATAAGATGAAAGTCAAAGCACTGAAATGCGTACAGGTGTTTTTCCTTACCACGTTGTCCGCTTGGGAGTGATTCTACCGATGGACTACACAGACCTGAATTTATTGGAAAGTCAGCAGACGACACTTCAGCTGGCGTATTCTCAACCTTCATGGGTTCACTTTTCTGTATATCTGTAGTTGCAGTATTCTCCACGAAAATTTCCCCATTCGCCTACAAAAGTAAATTTTAAGAAATAACAGGACTGTTCCGCTAAAATATGAATATAGCAACAATAGAAAAACTGACCCAGATTTGATAACATTTCTGCTATAATCCCAATGTTGACCAATCAAACTGACAGCTAATCGCTAAATGGCTAGACACCACGTTTGGATGTGACCACCGCTAGCTTTCACTCCAACAACGACATTAATTACCATTGCTATTTGAGGAGGGTGGTGTATGCATAGCAATGATTTATCTCCCATACCTAGTACACTGAGTATAAAAATCACCATTACTAATTGAGGAATGCAAGACAGACATCCACCTAAATACCTGGAACCTTTTCCTATCTCCTTTCACAGGCTACATCTTACAAATATTCGATAAGAAGTACACAGCGGGTTGTTGTGAAGCACATCCACAGACATTCTTCGATGGGTTGTCTGAGGTTACGAGGGATGACCAATAAAAATGAGTGTTTCTCTATTCATGCAAGTATGCTTCACTTAACTCACGCATGTTCTCAAAGATCAACACAGGCAATTTAAGTGATTTTTGCATAGGCAAGCTCTGTGCACCACATTGCATTTCATGATGACAGACTGCAAACAACTATGAGATTCAGAAGACCACTGATTTAATCGATATCCCAGGTACAACTGCTGAGTAGTTTAAGCAAATTAATTCTTTTCTTAGAAGTGATTTCGTAAGAAATACATTATTGGATTGATTGCTTCGTTAATAAATACCCTAACATTTTCCATAATCCGTCTAGAGCAAACGACTCCTCAACAGACCGCTTTGAATTTAGAAGCTACTTCCCCTATGGTGATATCATCATTCACATAGAGGCAATTCTTATTTATTACGCACGGAAAAGCATATGTTTGGAAGACAAGTAGGCGGATATTATTAATATGTGATGCAGCAGCAATGTACAATGCTTCACTTTGCTGTCTTAGATGAGTACTAACCACACAAATTAGTGGAAGCTACATATGCGGAAGTTGAAAGAGAAAGCAAATGAAGAAATATGACTCATTTCAATTAGAATCTCGTATTAAAAATTCAGCTGGTTATGTGACCTTCGCTACACTGCTCAGATAATCATATAAGGAATTCATGTCTCTGCATCTATTCTTAGTGTAGACAGATTTCACACCCCCTCTACTCAACACTACTTCCGCCAACACAGCACTTTCGCTGGGGTATCCTACAAATTTTACATCTTTCCATATTGACCTTCGTCAAGAGGCGAAAGTTGTTCTTCTTCTGTAGCATGATAACAAACCAATAATCATAATTGTTAAGAAAAATCAATAACTGAAAACATGACAGACGTCCGGAGAAAAAAAATGAATTCCAACCTATGTAGATATTACTTTCCCATGAAAATCATTCAAAAGAAAGTAAACGAACATTGATTAAATTTATTGAAGAATAAGGACGCATATATCTGCAGTAGAAATTATTGATCACACTGTTATGTCCCATAAGGAAGAGAAATTGTGAAAGGCAAATACACGTTTATTTCTATATGGAAATAGGAGGTGGCCTAGAAAACAATAATAAATAGCTGCACAAAAATGTCCATAGAAAAAGTAAAACTTGTGTTCCATAACAATGACAATTCGCTGAAAGGGTGAATTTCGAAAGCAAAATAAAAAAATATGAATTGTCCTAAACAGGGAGACAACTAGCAACCTAGCTGGATTTGGAGTATTACTTTTGCATTTATAAAAGATCTGTGCAGTATTAAGTGCTTACAGATTACCTAACATGCGGTTGATAATTCCATCATACACTCTCCCATTCAAGAAGCTAGTGACACGCTAGTCTGGTTCACTTAACAGCATAATATGTAGTGTGTTTATGTAACTTTGAGCATTACTGACAAGTATCAGCAAACAGCCATAAATTAGATCTGCAACCTGAATTGATCACATACATTTAGTGAAGTCTTATGTATAGTGACATAAACAATAGAGACCCGAATTCCATGCACATATGACTACTTTTAGATAGGAATACGAAAAAAACAATTTACAGCTAGTTTAATAACTATGTACACCTTATGGAAGTGCGATTTGAAAGCAGCAATTAATCAAAATAAAGCATCAGGATAAGACAAAAACAATGGCGTATTTCCAATCAGCTATTAAGACTGGACTCTTACCTATACACAAAAAAACGTGGAATCCAGATAACAGGATCGACTGGCTTCACAATACTTTTTATCCCTATTCAACATCACTAAGAGGAGAGATGAAAACCCAGAAAAACACGAAGGCTTTCTTCCTTACAGTGCAGTAATCATCAACAGCCTGGACTTAAAAGAGTCGGATTCTCAAAGGCGTACATTACTGAATAGTCCAGTCATTGTACCTTGCTTTCGAAAGGTTATCTGACTAAGGCGGGCTCAAAATAAAGCTGATTTTGAAAGGTCTGTCTCTGTCTGTCTGTCTGTTTTCGACATTGAACTTTGCACAAATGTGCGGAAGTTCAAGTCGCCACACTCCGTGTAGCACACAAAGCAAGAGAAGAAAGTACAAGAAAAGCATAATAGAAACAGTAAACAGAGGTGTGAGACAAAGGATTAATAAAGAAAAACAAAACAGTTTCATTGGAGATCATAAGTCACAAGGAGTGAATGCATCTGCGCCACTGAGAATGATTTTGAGCCATGTCACCAATTGTTTCCAACCATAGATTTTTACCGTCCCGAGGACCCCAACCAGCCAGGAAGTCTACACCTTCGTACGTGGCTTAGACCAACTGTTGTGGATTTCATTGACTAGTGCCAAGTTTTATTTTGACCACCGCTAGCTTTTTTCCAGTCTGACCCTGTATCCGTTAACATTGCTCGTCGAGGAAGGCGATGGCTAGGCATACGTAACACATGTTCTAAACATCTCAGTCTTTGTAACTTCACGACTTCGTCGATTGATTTCCCCTGTTTACGTAGAACTCGACGCCTAACCTCAATGTTGCTCACCTTATTATGCCACTTTACACGGGAAATAGAACGCAGGCACCTATGATCAAAGGCAGCTAGTCTTTTCATGTCTTCCACTCTCAGTGGCCAGGTCTCACCAGCAGCCATAAAGGAGGACGGAGCGGACTGATGAGCAGTACACCCGCCGTTTGGTCGATAGTCGAACATCTCGTCTACGCCAGAGTAGGCGTAAACTGTCAAATGCGAAACGAGCCCCCTGTATTCGTGCTGAGATTTCGTCAGAGATCAGCCCGTTGGCGTTGGCTGATGGTACTTCCCAAATAAGTGAAGCGGTCAACGTGCTCTACCACTTCACTCCCTATTTCTAAACTAGGAGTCAGTGTAGTCCAGTCCTGTAACATCATCTTGCATTTGGCGGGAGCGAATCGCATGCCAAACATTCATAGATTGCGGCTCAAGGTGTTTAGAAGACTCTGCATTTCGTCAGCGTCTTCGCCTAGAAGGACTATATCGTCTGCATATTCCAAGTTAACGAGATTATTCCCTGGAAGCAAGTCAATCCCTCTGTCTCTGAAGTCACTTAGGGTTAATTCCACTAGTACATCTATGATGAAGTTGAATAGAAAAGGGGATAATAGGCATCCTTGACGGACACCACTGGTCGTCACCAGTTCAGATGACAGCTCGCCGTAAGCCCTCACCTGGCTGTATGAGTTCGAGTAGAGTGCCTTAATCAGTGCAATATATTTTCTCGGAATTCCCTTTACAACCAAGCATCGCTAGAGAACTTCTCGATCGACAGAGTCGAATTCCGCCTTTAGGTCAAGAAATATAATGACTGTTGGACGCCGGTAGGAATGCCTATGTTCTAGAATCTGTCGGAGGGTGAAGATATGATCAATACACCCTCTTCCTGGTCTAAGGCCTGCCTGGCTCTCTCGTGTTTGTGCTTCCCGAGCACCACTTAGTCTACGCATGATTATTGAGCCTAAGACTTTAGATACTATATTAGTCAAGCTGATCCCTCTGTGATTATCACAGGAAGACTTGTCTCCCTTCTTGTATATCGGCATAATCAGTGACTTACACCAACCCGATGGGACTTCTTCTGATTCCCAAACGCTGCCTAGTACCTCAGTTAATCCGGACAGTAAGCTGTCTCCACCGTACTTAAATACCTCTGGAGTCATTCCATCAGGTCCCGCTGCTTTGCCTAGTTTCAGATTGGTGACAGCTTTAGTAACCTCAGTTAGTGACGGAGGACCTGTGTTTATATCCCATTCAGGGAGGTGTTGGATGCTCGGAAGGTTGAGCGTGGCTGTGGGCCAATTAAACTGCTCCTCATAATGCTCTTTCCAGCGATCCAGTCGTCTATCCTGAGAGCTAATTATAGTGCCATTTTTTCCGAGATTGTTTCACTAATGATTTGTCTTCTCCCACCCGTTTCCCTGATGAGTCAAAATAGTTGCCTGGTGTTGCCTATCCTCGAAGCTTTCTCCTTTGAAAGGTACAACTGAATCCTATTTGATTTCATATCGATAAAAAATTTGAACATAAATCCCTAGAAAAACCAGTGATGTTTTAGATGAGATTGGAACTTGTGAGAAATCCTATTGAAATTTAACAGTAGGTTATAGTAAATGATTTTTAAAAATGGATAGATGAAATATATTCAACAATCTTACTCCATGTGATATATCAGAAACTGGAGCATCAGTTGATGTCACAGTGTTCTCTTCACAGTTTAGACTGTCATATAACTCCTTTTCATTTTTACCGTCAGTTGTAGCTCTCGTTATATCCAGATCACCAGAAAACTGAACACCATCGGGTAACACAACAGAATCATCTATCATAGGTTGAAGAAGACATTTTGGAGTGCATTCATGAAGCCATGCCAAAATCTCATTATTTATATAGTTCAGCTGTTCTAAAATATCCCTTTGTAATCCACGTAAAAACTTGGCTAATATTAAAATCGTTTCACTGCTGTAAAATATTGGATGGAAAAATCGACATAAAGAATGCATGTAGTCAACTAGAAACATGAAATGAAGTCGATAAGCTAGATATAAAGTATAAAAACGTATAAAAACGCCAGTATAAAGTATATAAACGTTCGTTTATGAAAATATCGTATAACCGAAAACTAATAATATAAAACGAATACGATTCGGAAGAGAACTGCTGAAATAACATACTACTACGACCCCGATGTATAACGTATATTACATTTTTTCCAGGGGTTACCAAGGCACTTTATGAGTCAAGCTGATTTCTCTGTGGCTTGTACAGGAAGATTTGTTCCATTTCTCAGAAGCTCGAATGAACGAAGATATACCTCTTGACTCAATTGACTTTAAATACCACTTTTCTATTTGTTGCTGATAAATTAGTATGGTTTTTATGTTGTCTAGTTAACTACCAAAATTACTCTAGTATTCTTCCAAACTTATGATAAATAACTGCGTTTTCGTGTTATTTGTAACTGATTATGTCATCACATTTCACCCACTGTTATTTCCATTAACTACGACGTTCACGTCAAACTCCCATGGAATGGAATATTTAAAAAATACGATTATTTCTGAATGTACATTATCTCACATTGATTTTTAATCCAATATCTAATCCATTCCACATATGTATATAAATGAGAGATCAAAGTTGTGTGAGTAACTTGATATGATTATGAGCAATAGTTTGTGCTCGAAACGTCATCAGTTCATATAACTGTAAACACTGTGCGATTTATCAGAATAAAATCTTATCTATAATGGAATTATACTCTACCACAGTGCCCAAGTTTTATACTTATATCAATAATACATATGGTCTTCCTATAAGGAAGCTTATCAATAAACTCACACGACTTTGTCAAACAGAAGCAAGATTCACAAACCACCGGATTTTTAATAGTAGATGTTTAAAAAATCATATAATTCCAAAATATTTACGCATACGCACTCCAATTGCTTCAAGGAAAATATCATCAGCAGCTGAACATCTCAGTAGATTATGTCTAAGAGAAGAACTACATCGAGTTACTGTGAAACTAAATAATATACGAAATGAAATCGAAAAACTCAAACAGAAACTCAAATGTATGGTCAATGACAAAGATTATGTAATCGTTGTTGAAACATCCGAAAAAGCTAGAGAATCAGCCTTAAGAAAATCAAAAACCACACAAATCAAAAAATTCAACAAACTAATGGAAGAAAAGAACACAACAAATGAAATTGATGTCAACACTTCATCCTCTATCGACAGAACAAAATGGGTGATCAACCTCTCATCAAGAGAACTAAGCTCTAGTGAGATAAAAGTACTTGAGAAAGGACTAAATTTTAACGTAACAGTTAATAAATTAAAACCAGAGGACGTTATTCCTAACATAGAAGCAGCACTAGGTTCAATAGACAAGACAACAGCAGAAGAGGTTAGAGCACAATGTGCGTTAACCCTGAAAAATCAAAAGAAGGCAAGATCAAACTTAACAAAATCAGAAAGGGAAGCTTTAATTAGTCTAAAACAGGATAAAAATATTGTCATCGCAAAAGCGGACAAAGGAAACGCCACCGTAGTTCTGAATAAATCTGACTATATCAAGAAAGTCAGTGAACATATTGAAACGGGTCCATATGAGGAAATTAAGAAGCCTGTAGATACAATAATGAATAAGGTAAAGAAATCTACAGCGGAATTAATACGGAGAATGAAGCCGTCACTGGGTGAGTCTAAATGGTTTACTTTAATGCCTAAAACTAATAATACTAGTAGAATATATGGTACTATTAAAATACATAAACCAGGTTACCCCATAAGACCAATAGTAGATTTTAGAAATACTCCCACTTATGAATTATCAAAACACTTAGCTCTAATACTTTGTCCCATTAGAAATCGCTCAAACTCTAGACTAACTAATTCATATGAGATGAAAAGTAAGCTAAATGACATTCAACTAGAGAATGATGAAAAAATGGTTAGTTTTGATATAACTAGTCTTTACACTAATATACCAGTCATTATGGCCTTAGAAGCAGTTAAAAAAGAACTAACTGCGGATCCTGAACTGAATCATAGGACAAAGCTGCCCATTGAACAAATTATGTTAGGGATTCAGTTATGTCTCACATCTACCATCTTTAAGTTCCAAGGCAAAATATATAAACAAACAGAAGGTGTAGCAATGGGATCACCAATATCCCCTATTGTAGCAGACATATTTATGGACAGCTGGGAAAGTAGTGCTCTTAATACGTTTAACCCCACTCCAAAAATATGGTGGAGATATGTGGATGACACTTTCACGGTGTTAAAAACAGAACATATCTCTAGCTTCCTGACACATATAAACTCACAAGTAGAAGGAATTAAATTCACATTTGAATCAGAAAATGAACTAGGAGAATTAGCTATGTTAGATTGTAAAATAAAACGAATAGAAGAAGGCAAACTACACACTAGTGTTTATAGAAAACCAACGCATTCTAATAGATATTTAGACTTTAATTCGTCTCATCCGTTAACTGTTAAGGCAGGCTTAGTAAAGTGTCTAACAAATCGAGCCATAGCACTAAGTAGCACAAAAAAAGACCTAAATGATGAAATAAAACAGATAGAAGAAGCGTTGGTGTTGAATAACTATCCTATAAAATTCATTAGGAAGATCACCAAAAACCAAAAGCAAAATAAAAATAATGGTGAAACTATTAATGATAACACAAATAAGAAAGAATATAAGTCATCCACTGTTATACCATATAAGGAAAGCACATCTGAGGCCCTACGTAGGATTCTTAATAAAGCAGGAATTAGGGTGGCATTCAAACCTACAAACTCACTCAGAGACAAGCTCTGTAGGCTAAAAGACCCGGTGGATCCAATTAAACAAAATAATATAATTTACAAAATACCCTGCAATAACTGTGAGGTCAACTACATAGGTCAAACTAGTAGGTCAGGGATAGTCAGATTAACAGAACATAAGAATTTAGCTAAGGTAAGAATGGTTGACCCTAAAAAGATAAGTAATTTAGAAAAAAGCTCAGCTATTGCACTTCATGCAATAACAAACAACCACACAATAGGGTGGGATAGGGTTAAAATTCTAAAAAGTAATATAGCTAAGTGGAGAGAGAGGTTGATTACGGAATCCTTATTTATCGAGTCCACACCCAACACATGCAACAAAAATGACTCAATGCAAATACCAGAGATATGGAAGATATTATTACCGCAGGTCAAATCAGAAGAGGGTAATAAATAATATTAAAATTCTATTTCGATTCAAACACATCACAACATCCTAACAAAAAACTTATTATGACTATTAAAACACTCGTCGTATCTTCCATCTGATTATAGTAGATCAATAACACTCGTATTAATGCCATCAGTCAAACCAGAAGAAGATAATAAATAATCTTAAAATTCTATTTCAATTCAAACACATTCTAACAAGCAGCTTATTATGACTGTAAAAACACTCGTCCAATTTTCCCATCTAATTGCAATTGATCAACAACACTCGTACGATTATTTCTGAATGTACATTATCTCACATTGATTTTTAATCCAATATCTAATCCATTCCACATATGTATATAAATGAGAGATCAAAGTTGTGTGAGTAACTTGATATGATTATGAGCAATAGTTTGTGCTCGAAACGTCATCAGTTCATATAACTGTAAACACTGTGCGATTTATCAAAATAAAATCTTATCTATAATGGAATTATACTCTACCACAGTGCCCAAGTTTTATACTTATATTTAAAAAAGTGTTCTTATTTAATTAATGGTGAGTACATTTTAAGCTCTGTAGTCGAAAAAAACTTTTAAATGAGAATTTTATTCTTCTGGCACACAACAGCTTTACGGAACCATCTCGGTTTCCAATACAGAGCTGAGGAAGCTTTAATTAAAAATACACTACCATCCGTAAACACTTCTCAAGTAAAACCACTAGCTCTTCCTGGTTTGTCTTCCTTTGGAATAGAGAGTTTCCGCAATCCTGATCACTTATAACATGTACAACAGCAATAATGCACATCCATTATCAGAAACATAATTGTTATATTCCTTTATGTTCCGAGTGGGACATAGAGCTTCAAGCTACACCTCTGAAGTTTCGGTAGCGGTGGCTTTATTTTTATGGAGTGGGGTTGCTAACTTCACGCCCTCACTTTGTACCGGCCTTACTACCAGGACTTAGTAAGGTTCAGGAGTCCGTCAACCGGCGAACGAACTCTTGATGACATGCTTGGTTGGCGAGCATTCTACCGCTGAACCAGCGATACACAACAGAAACATACACACTAATAAGATCAAAGGATTAAAATAAAGCATATAAAAAATGTTAAGGTTGTGCGAGTGCCTATGAACAGTGAGTAGCTTAGTAATATCACGTCACTACTTTACTTATATTAAATAAAATTCTCTTACTATGGAATTATACTCTATCACGGTGTCTGCATATTATTCTTATGCCAATTGCTTCCAATGAGGAGCTATTAGTGTGTTTCGCAGATTGCTCATTTATTATATTTTTCGAGACTCGTTTACTCAGCAAATCTAATTGACTAAAAGGTATATGACTCCATTACCACTAGTTAGATTTGAGCGGTAACTAGGGTTAGGGAATTTTATTAAAAGGGCAAGGGACAGGAACAACAGGACAAATATGGATGCCTACACCCTGTAATGTGAAAGCGATAAAAATAAAAATCATATGCATTTTATTTACATTGTAACTTTACGTAACTACAATAGTCTAACAGTAAACACTTTTATGACTAGAGTCAACATATAGGTGATATGAGTTTAAGTGAAAGGTTATATATAAAGTAACTAACTGTTGATCTACAAGTAATAAGTGGAAAACTAAAAGTTGAGGACCTTTTATAGAATTGAAAACAAGTGTGAAGTGAACTTACCTATTTACCAAAGTGATATTAGTACGTAAACCTTCAATTCTTGAACCTCTTCTATGACCACGTAGTGGAAAGTTTGTTTCACTCGGACTGATTGATTTCATATTGTTAACAATACCGAATTCTGAAGTGAAAAAGAATGGTCATTCACGTAATTAAAAAGCGACAATCAATTGTAGTTGAAAGGTAATTTTTTGTAATAATGTTTAGTAACGACAAGTTGATACGAAAAAGTCATCTGAAACAAGTGAAGTAATCTTTGCAACTGACCGCTGTTTTCGTATGCTTACATATAAAAACATTATCAGATAAAGTTGCTTAAAGTGAGATTATTATTATTGTTCCCTTGGGTTCCTAGTGGAACATAGGGCTTCAACTGCACGTTTCCACTTGCTTCTGTCTTTTGCTGTACTTTTCACCTGCATCCATGTTAGTCCACATTGTTTCAACTCCTCTTCACACGATCTCCTCCATGTCACCCTTGAACGTCCCACTCACCGCTTCCCTTTCGGGTTCCACTCGAGCAATGGCCTGACGCGCGCGCGATATCACCCAGCGCGAGTGTCACTCAGCTAGTGTCCAATCCATCTCCACTTTCTCCTGCATATTTCTTGGTTGGCGATTGGTTCTTGTTTTCTTTGTTCTCATAGTTTGTTGTTGGTGATTCTTTCCGGCCTGGCCATCTGATGTTCAATATAGATCCAGCGAAGACAGTTGCTGATAAAGGTCTGTTGGAAATATTCTTTGTGATCCACCCGCCAAGTTTCTGATCCGTATAGAAAAGCTGACTGACTTGACGTTTGTATTGAAAATCCTACCGAATTTTGTTGTTGATGCTGGCTGAGTGACGAAGATTTCCAGATTGGTTTCAGGTTGATGAATGTGTTTCTCGCCTTCCCGATTCTAGCTCGATTTGACATCCTCGTCCGTTCTGACTGCCTGTAGTTGAGGCAATGCTCCCTAGATAAGTGAGTGAATGAAGTAACCTCTTTCAAATCCCTCCCGTTGATGGTGATTGACGCTGCTGCTGTTGTTGTTGGTTGGTTGGTTATTATCATAACCTCCGTCTTGTCTATGTTCACTTGGAGTCCTGTCTTTGCTGCTTCTTCGACCAGTTTGTCGGTTTTCGCTTATAAGTCTTCGATTTTGTGTAACACCAGACATATATCATCCGCGAAATCCAGGACTTCTAGGGTTCTTCTAGGAACATGATTTGCCTTTCCTGAATCCAGCTTGTTCTGGTCGGAATTCTGTATCCAGTGTGTCCTTTAATCTCGCCAGGATGATGCGACTCAGGATTTTACTTGGCGTCGACAGGAGCATGATTACCCGCCAGTTCTTGCAGAGTCCTAAGTCTTCCTTCTTTGGTAGTTTCACGAGGTAACCTTTCCTCCAGTCAGTAGGCACCTTTCCCTCCTTCCAGACCTTTTGCAATATTGGGGTCAGCATATCTGCTGTCGTCTCTGGGTCCACTTTCAGTGCTTCAGGGAGTATTCCATCTGGTCCGGCTGCTTTTCCAGCTTTCAGAAGCATGATTGCATTCAAGACTTCAGCTCTCGTTGGAGGATTGGTGTCAACTTGCAGTTGTGTGCGCGCTGTTATTGGTATTTCTGGACGGTTTGCAGGTGGTGGTCGGTTCAAGAGTCCTTTGAAGTGATCCGCCCATTGTTTAATCTGTCTTTCTTCCTTGGTAATTGGGTTCCCTTGGTTGTCTTTTATAGGTTTCACTTGTGTTGATCTCTTCCCAGATAGAGACTTGATTATCTGACATAATGTCCTCAGGTCCCTTTTGCCTTCTGCCTTCTCAGCTTCAATGGTGAGGTTGTCGTAGAATTGTCTTTTGTCCTTCCTAGCACTCTTCTTCACTTCTTTGTGCAGTGCTGTGTACGTTGAACTCAGCGTCTCCTTCTCCTGTCCGTCCTTGCATTGAATCATTTTCTCTTTCACCATTGTATTCCATTATATTCTATTAAAATGAATAGGTCATTATTCTATATACATCTATAATTATATGCATGTACAAGGGCCAAAACAGGAGTTTTGTCTTATATCCTGAATCTATAATGCAAAGGTTGTCCGTAATGAAAATTAGTCGATTATATGCATGACTATCAACAGTTTGAATGAATCATCAGCCTAATACTGCATAGGTCAAGTTTACTGTATTGATAAGTAATATATATATATATATATATATATATATATACAACCTCTTGCTCAGCAAATATGCAAATGGAAGAGGAGATGGATTGAACATATAATGAGGAGACATTCAAATGATATCACAGGACAGATCCCTGAATGAATTGCAAATTGTTGGCAAAGGGTCAGACATCCGAGGGAGGCGAAGGAGGAACCAAATAAAGAGGAAGTGAAAATTTGTGGGTGATCGTGGTCGAAAGTGATGATAAATAACAGAGCGTAACAGAGCGTGCCTCTGAAGCCCCGTGTTTCACTTGGAAATCAAGGAACTAATAATAATGATGACAAACAAGTCGATCACTATGAGACCGGTCTATCAAGACAAAATATAATAAAAAACAAAATAAACTATATGTTATGCATGGACTATATGCATCTCATGAAGACCACTTATTATTATCTAACTTCTCAGTATTTCTAATGCCACTAAAAGTTGACACGGTAAAGTAAAATATGTTTGGATTAGCACACCATACCTTCCTGAATAGAATTTAGAATTCACGTAAATTAAAAGTTACTGGGTAGCATCAGGAATCTAGATTTACAGGGGATATACTTTACTTTTTTGTAGTCTATTTTGGAGGAACGTTAATACAGTATTTTTTTTAACTGTGACCGAGACAATCTTGACCTTTCGATGTTCCTACACATAGTTTAACGTCAGCAGTGTACTTATTCTATTGTGTTGAAAAAACCAAGGTATCCCTAAGACACTTTTTTAATTGTCTATATCAGGAAAAACGTGAAAGTTATACTCACTGGAAGGGCTTTGATTGTCCCAGGTATTGTCAGTTGGTGAAAATGATTCACATAAACGCAGAATTGCTCCAAAATGTTTTTCAAACACAACAGAACGAAAATCGCACTGATGCCACTGAAAAAGAAACCGCAAGAGGAATGTAACTAATGAATCACTAAGGAATTATGAAATTAAACATTAAAATCAACCTGAAAAAGTTATAATGCTTGAAATGAAATGAGACGTATCTGATAGATTAATGTTCAGGGAATGATGAAACTTTCAAGAATTAGCACATAGTAATTACAATCTTTAAAAAAAAGATATATACTTTTTTGAACGTCACTATCAATCAGTGTTAACTATTGATTGCTAAGCCGTTCAAAAGCAACATAAAAATCACAACGCTTTCTACAACATAACGAAGAGAAACAGTATACTAGTATAATTCAGAAGTGCATGATACCCACATTCTGTATTGTTACTTTTCACAGATCGATAAAACAACAGTTATGCTTCAAATGAAAAAGTATTAAGGTAACATTTAGTGTGAAATATTTACTGCATCCTTGTGAAAAATGCAGACAGAATAATTGTCTTATTTATTATTACCTCTCTATGTTCAAAGATCACTCAGAATCTCTACTTCCTTAGGCACATAACTTTAATGTCAGCGTCAAAACATCGGGTTGGAAATAGAAAAGTGCTTGGGGTTGAAGTGAGTTTCACAATGAGCAATACTGTGAATGAAACCAACATTTGGATCTTGTTTTGCAACTGAACTGCGTCCAATGTGAGGTACTAGCAGTGTAGATCCACAGTTTACTTCATAAACATTCGAGATAGGGTAAATAAACCGAATTTGATTAACGGAAAGCAAATTATGAAGAACGGTACCACAATTGCAGAAAACCGTCAATTCTGGTGAAAGGCAAACTGGCGCGTAGGAAAAAATTTTTTATGCATTCACTCAAAATTACTGTGCTAAACACACTCATTCAATACTAACAAATTACAAAAATGTCTCTTGAAGCACTGGACTACACTTACCATTTTTTTAATCCGGTAATCATTAACCAGTTCTAAAGCATCGTGGAGAGATGATCGTGCTGAACTGAGCATTTCTACACAGGATATAGCTTCAACTTCATCAACGTCATTCCAAACATTATTTTTACTTGGTAATACAGAAGTTGTGTTAACAGAGCTATTCAATTCATCGATTTCAGGTGTCTTCGAAGCAACAGAGGAAAAGTAATCTGTATTGATATTTATCTCATCAGAATCTATTAGAGCTGCAGCACGCAGTGCTGAGTAAATCTGTTCCAAGATGTCATCTGCAATACCTGGGATCATGGCAAAACAGCGCATCAACCATAAAACAAATATGAGACGATCCGAAAACAGCTTATGAGCATATGACACATGGTAGCGTGCAGTTGCCAGTTTGACTCCAACTGGTCTGAAATTGAATAAAAGATAAAAAACCTCTATAAAGAAGATTATCACGTGATAACGCGATTATACCTTTTCATTTATCATGTAAAAACTCCCACTTTACGGCAACAGAAAGAAACTAAGTACTCTCCAAAAACAACAGACATTATCTGGTTGTTCAGTTTAACACAGTTTCAAGATATAATCTAGATCTGAACAAAGAAAGTATTTTGATGTAGTCTACATGTTGTCAAGAAGAAGAACGAAAGGAAGCTACCCAGCTCGGAGAACACAACCGCAACAGAATGATCCGCCCGGGCCAGAAATCGATATGATTGTGAAACGTGATAGTAAAACTTGTCCCATTATTTTCTAATTATTATTACTTTATTACCTTGTTCACCAGAAAGGATTGACAACAAGGAACTCTGAGAATGGACCAACCAAGAGCCTACTGCCTTAAAAATATGCCAAAGAAAGTGGAGTTGGATCAGATACACGCTGAAGAGACTGTTGAGTAACATCACACGCGAGGCCATCGCTCATGGGGAAACCGAATGGGAAACAGTGAGTTATGCATCTGAGGGTGACATGGTGGAGATCGTGAGAGGAGATGAAGGTTTATGAACAATCGTGGAGCCGGTTAAAGAGGACTGCATACAACAGGATAAAGTGGATATGTACTTACGTTCTATTTGGAATCTAAGGGAATAATATAATAATAATAATAAAATTGTTTTTCTCGTTGATGGATTCAACCGAAATGTATGGCTTATGTTGATATGTCGGTTCCTAGTACAGACACTGCAACGATGCCTGAGTATTGCAATCAGTGGATTTCAATGCCAGTCACCATCCACCAAACAACATGGGTATTAATACCCTAACCTTTTGAAAATTTAACAGTGATCCAATTGTGTGGCCAAATAGAGTAATCTAAACCCTCTTATAAATTTAGTTCCTATAATGAATTTGTTCAAAATTAAGTGAAATTGTTAACCCTAGTAGGAAATCAGAGCTTCCAACACACCTTTACATGTAAGTAAAGAGATGAAAACTAAGTGGTGTATATCATAAGTTAAAGTTACCTACAAAAGTCTTACAGTTTTATGTATGCTTACCGTAAATCATCTTCATGTGCAAGTTGTGTCAATTGCACAATAGCATCATCGGAAAACGTGGTAGAGGACGATGATGATGATGATGAAGAAGAAGAAAAATCAGTAGCGTCTGAGTATGAAGAAGTAGAAAACGAGTCCCAATCTTCGTCTCCTTCAACAACTGAATCACTGAAATATGAGTCGAAGTCATCATCTTCTACTGGATCATCATCCTAATTGAAAGAGTAAAAATAAGCTGGTTGATGGGGTGAATTAAACCACAATGTATAGTAGTTTATTTATTTATTTAAACGCATAAAAACTTGGTACAATACGGCACCAAGAAGGATGCGCCACACAATAATAATAAAACAACATAGATCAAAAGAAAAAAAAGAAGAGAAAAAATTTATAATAATAATAATATATATTCTCATTTTTGTACATGAGGGACGCCAGTTTACAGGCATCATCAATTCGATAAATTACACATACGATTAGTAAGCATATTTAGTAAAATAATATAAGGTGCATATTTTTTCCTAGCTATGTAGAATACACCAATTGTATAGGCATGCATAAATATTGTTTAAATTACATGATTCGTTAACTATCATCGGGAAGGGAAGAAAGAAGAAAATTGCAACACGTGTAATAGCACGCGATAAGTTTCATTGAATGTTTGTTGCTTTATTCAATTCATTGTGTCAGGGTTGAGATACTGCCCGGGCGCCCAGACCGAAGCAGGCGGTTTTATTAAGGGACCACCCTTACCTTTGACTTTGAGTCTAATCCGCAAGGCAGCGGAGCAGCGTCGGGAGCTGCATTCCCATGGTTTCCGGTGCGCCATATGGGTTCATACGCCATTTGATCCGATTGCATACTAGAACTAATGTACCCCATGGTAACTGCTTTGAGTTTAACCGCTATCCAAACAACCTTCCTGACATGGTAGGACCTGAAGGGACAGAGTCCCAGTCAGTTTAGCATGTTGGGTCATTACGGTATTCAAACCCGACCACCACAAGGTAGCAGTTATCGGCCGGGATGTATAGTAGTTAATGATGATAAACGCTTGTCTTTCAAAAAGAGACTCAGTTTCTAATTCTTTGACTGAGGAAGAGATTACAACTCAGTCAACTTTTGGTATGGTTACATCCCAAACTCAAGAGACTTGACTAATCTTTCTTACTCCATAGTTCTCGATAAGTTTAAACAGTTAAAAGCCTTAAAAAACAAACAGGTTTTCTGATATCCGTTTAAAAGAATCAGTAAAGTAATTGCAGACAGATTCTAAAAAACTAGATTAGTAGCAGTCACGAAGTCTGTTCTTTCTTCTGAATGATTCTGCATTTGATTTAAGGTTGAATACAAACATCACAATTGGCTTATTAGAATAAACACTGACACATTTATTGGGACAATGAATATTTCTAGATCTAACCTCTTTATTTTTAACGTCATGTTGCCATGCATTTTACTTAAAGTGGTCTGTGATAAGGTGTATCACTTTGTTGTGACTCAATCCATTTTTACCATTTCTAATTAACTTTGACTGTAATTGAATATTTATTTTGCTTTACTACTATGTATTTCCTAAACTTCACAAGTGGCTTTTGGTCTACCTTGTGCTTATTGCCAAATCACAACGTTTGGGTACATTGAGAAACGTGAAGAATTAATAGGATTTATGTGTACCCTGTGAGTTAGATCAATATTTAAACTAGAGCAGTTGTGCAGCCAATCTGAGTTATTCTTCACGGTGTTATAATTCCACTGAACCAAGGCGCACACAGAACGATATTTTCGTAACACTCAACAAATGTTTCCGCTGGATCACTTCAGTTAGATTGCAGGACAATCCGATTTCGAGATGATGTTTTATAATATAATTATGTGTGATGGTTTTGGTTCAATTATATGGTTGTAAAACACAGACAATGAAAGTAGAAGATATATGGTTTCACATATTCGTCAATTGGCTATGTAAGAGTTAAGAGGTTAAATACACTGGGGTTTACATTTTTAAATGACCCAAGGAAAAGTCATAGTTTTTTTTAAGAATTCTGGCTTGCTGATTATAAATGAACATTAAACTTATGTCAATGCATGATTGAAACACATCATACCATGTACATGGTCATGTATTTAACAGTAAGACGTATCTGTGTAAAAAAACTAACTGCACTATTAGATTGCCTACAGCTCGATAGGTGAAGCAGGGTTCGGACACACAATTATTTATTTATTTAGAACACAAAAACTTGGGATAATATAGCACCAAGAAGATACGCCACACAATAATAATAAAACAACACAGATTAAAAGTGAGGAAAACAGTCATATTTAACAAGTTCAAACAGCATTGGTCAGTTATCGTCGGAAAGGGAAGAGAGAAGGAAATTGCAGCACGTTCACCACTGATTGTGATTCCTGGTCATATCTGATAACGTTTCGAAACACCGAATCGAGGTATCTTTCGGACTCCAGCCAGGGAGACGTGACTCACCAACCCATGCTAACCTAACATAAATATCCTTCATCCCACGACGCCACGTCATGGACTGACCACCTCTCCACTTTTTCCATCCCGTCCCAGGGCTAGAGAACAGAGACCTGTACGGGAGCCTCTGGAATGAAATTCGCAGCACATGTCTAAGCCACCGAAACCGGTGTTTCCAAATGACAACATTCAACAAATGGTGATCTCCACTGTCCGAACATACGCCGCCGGATCTCAGAATTACTCACGCGATGAGTGAGTGCAGGTACAGCCTCCTGCCAATCTTGTGACAATACTTTGCACTTAGATAGTGCAAAGCACAAACCATACTTACAGACACTGATCGCCAACTGATTAAGTGCGATTTCGGCAGCTTGCATGCTATCGCACAGTAAGACGATATCGTCTGCATACTCGAATCAATCCCGCACGTGTTTTACATAGCCTACGAAGCAAGACAGCAGTCAATATTTTAAACTCAACTGGTAGCAGACTGATACCCCTACCGTTGTCACATGTATTTTTTTAAATATGGGGACGATAATGGAATCATTCCAAATTAATGGTACATCCTCAGTCTTCCACAAATTCCTGAGTAGTTTAGTCAAAGGCATGATGTGAGTCTCACCACCATCTCTAAAAAGAGTCGGGGATAGATTATCTGAGTTGGGTACCTCATGGCGTTTCAGTACTTGGAGTTGCTTCCGGACCTTCGCTTGAATTGATGGGTTGGTACTGACCGACCAAGGAGCACTGGAGATAATGACAGTGCATATTGGAGCTGATGGCCAGCTAAACTGCTTCTCGAAGTGCTCTGTCCAGCTTTTCAGGCGTCTTTTCAAACTGCTGATTGGCGTGCCGTCTGCCCCACAGATCTTCTCGCTAATATCTCGTCTCTTGATGCCAGTGGCTCGAATGAGCAGGAACAGCTTCCGACTCTTGCCAGATGAAGCAGCTGACTCCATCTCACACGCACGTTCTGACCACCAGGCTTCGCGGTCCTTATGTAAACACTATCTAATCTTGCGCGTGAGCGTCTTTTGCTTATTGTTGTATTCGCTGCCAGCCGGAATGGACTGGCGTTCATCCAGGAGTTGCGAAAACTCGCAAAAACCCAGTGGTTTTTAGCGGAGCATTCTTTCAAGCCACAAGCGGCTAGACTCGCCATTTGCATGGCACCTTGCAGATGAAGCCAATGTTCATCTATACTACTTGGGGTTGCTAGCAAGCATTGATTGTAACTCACTCTGGTATTTCAAAGAGGTAGCAGGTGCTACCAGTTTGCTCATATCGACATTCAGATGACGCCATTTATGAACCCTAACAAATTGCAAGGCGAACTTGGCACACGCTAAGGCCTGATCGGAGTCCAGGCATGCGCTCCAGAAGGAGCGAGTCTTGTATGCATCTTCGCCACCGGAAACTGACAGTGATATGATCAATCTGAGTCCAGCCTTGATTCAGAGGGAGGGCATCACGACGATGGATGTGACGGAATTTGGATTCTGGAGCCCATGTACGCCATAGTAACTGCTTTTATCTAACCACTATCCAAACAACCTTTCTAACATTGTATGACCTGCAGGAGCATAAGTACCAGTCAGTTCAGCTTGTTGAGTGTTATGTACTCGTCACCAAATTAATATTATGTACTGGTCGAGAATTTAATAGTCCTGACGCAAGAAAGACGGAAATCAGAAGACCACTAGGTTTGCGATGATACTTCAATTTTCCAAACACAAGGAGAATCAAATGTATATCACACAACAGCGTGAGAGCAAAATATATATGAATGTCCAAAAGTGTGTGAACAAATCAATAGACAGTCTTAACATAATTGGCTAATTATAATGGAATATCGATCCATATATATATAGCAAAATATAGCAGACATGTCAACAAACACACATATTATATGGATATTTATCACCAAGGTCAGACTGTCAACAAACACACATATTATATATAATATAAGGGGAATATACATTTTTAAAGGAGACAGGTTCATCAAAGTGAAATGGTCACAGACTAAGAGAGCAACAGAAAGAGAGACCACCATACACATATACATGGATACATATCATTGAGTCACTGTGGTATTCAAGCAAGACCACCACGACTAGATAGCAGTTGTTGGTTGCCCAGTGACTGAAAGGTTGGTGTCCAGACCAGAGAGGTAGAGCTTGCTAAAATAGATCCATTCTTCTCCATATAATCAAGAGACTAAAAAAGTCCTATTATCCAAATTATTTAACGCTTATTTCTCTTCACTTACATACATTGCCAGTTTAGTTTGCAGTACAGCATCTCGAATCACACTTGGCGAATGATGTAGGTACTTAACAATAAAATCATGTAATACAATGCTTGTTTGAATTTTACACGGGGGGTTTAATCTTATTATGGATGATTTAGACAAGAGAAACAACACTTAAATAGCGATGGGAACACCAAAAGACATACATCTGTTACAGCAGGCTAACGGAGAAATTACCTGAAAGAATAGTAGGCTGCTTCAAGTTAGCTAGGATTGGTGAGAAAGTGACAAATGTGGCATTCAGTCCTACCAATTGTGCATTGGTCAGAAATATTTTCTGCCTTATAACTACTTTTGTATAAAGATAGCTTCACAATAGATTTTTCATACTATATAATACTTTTTAATAATTGATATGCAGTTGTAACAGGACAACATGCTGGGAACTGTTTATTAGAGCTATATATATATATATATATATATATATATATATATATATATATATATAAATTGTCATGCTCTCAATTCAGTCACTTGGATATCATGAAAATAAGCTAATTAGTTTAAGAAGCACATACAAGCTTGATAGTACAAAAGCAGTCAAGTATAAAAAAACAGTATGGAAAGATGGGAATGTTCCTCAATGATTTAAAGAATGAATATTCCTTAAAAATTACTTCTAGTACAATGGTATGTATTCTGAGGGAAGCGCTGGCCACTAACAGAAAAAAAACAGAATTCGGAGTAAATACAAAACTAACTCACAGTTTCAATTGCTTGTAGACAGTCTGTACGATAAACTTCACTTGACGTACCATCAATCCAGCGAATTAACACCTTTCCTGATTCGGGAATAATATCTTCTAAAACACCAGCAGGATAAGTGGAATAATCATTATCACGTTCAGATCTAATTAAGACAATGTCACCATAATTCATTTGATATTCTCCCGGACCAGAAATCTCATAAACACCGATTTCTTCAGGACAGCCAAGAGGAATCATTGATCTTTACAAAAAGTAAACAGAAAATACTAATTCAATGACCAGTTTTGGATGAATTGATTATTTACTTTTGTTGTTTAACTGCATACTCACTGTTAAATGTCCCAGTCGGAGAAATAAGAAGAGACACATGAAAACGTAGTTATGTCCACCATTGAAAACATAAAGCCATAAGCCTGACCTAAAAAGCTGGTCACTAATTATATGTCTACGTATCAAAAGTTAAGTCGAAACTAAATGTCTGGAATATTAAACACAATGTCTTAAGTTGCAAAAATTGAATTCTAGACGTATATGAAATGGACAGTGATAGAAATTGATAATAGTTGTCCTAAGAAACATTTTCATATTCAACTTTCTGAAACTACCGTGCAACAGTTGGGATTATGATAAAGAACTGTATAATAGCTTGGTATTCAGCATTATCAACAACATTCATAATTATAATATTATGTTAGGAACGACTAGTCATGAATGAAGGATTCATACAGTAATAATAATAGCCTTATTTTGGACAATATATTTACACACAGTACAGAAGTGAGTGTATGTTTCGCATGATGTTTACTCTTTTTACAGGTTCCTTACGTAAAGTAGTAATCAACAGTGCATTATATGACGCAATGCTGTTTGATCTGAAGCAAAATTAAATCAATACGAATTCTTTTCTTAATTTTCTTCAAGACGTCTACAACAGGAGACGAAAAGCTATACCAAAAATATGCATGATTAGATGTTACCATCGAAGTACGTAACTGAAGGATTAAAATAATAGGAAATACAGAGAGATTTATTCATTATACCGCATGGAAGTTAAGGTACCTTAGTGATTTTAGCAGGCTGTCGTGGAAGGGGTGTACATCAGAATCCAAGAATAAATCCCACCATCCATAAACCAAAAAATGTTTCGAAAGAATACATTCCAACTGCGTCAAAGAGCATTTTGTAAATAGATATATGTAGAGAACGCTAGTTAGGCCCTACGTAAATCAGCGTGGTAGAAAATACAGTCAAATGACTTTACAACTTTGAAAAATCCTGAATTATCGATGAATATAACACCAAAAATGGCGATGACCTTGGTGTGGAAACAACTCTAGAGACTTCAACGAAGCACCAGCTGTGTGCACTTGATATTTTTGGTTACAAGTACAAAAATAATCTTATTATATGCAAAATTAACATCAGTATTTCTTAATTCCCCCCATTTTTATATTTTTTCTAAAATTCTTCCCTATTTTTGTTTCGAAACAGTCATGGCCGTTATATTCAGAGGGTATCGAATAATAAATACTTTATATCCTCTGGGTTAACTAAGTCACTTCATTGCATTAATCAGATTTATTGATAATTAAGAAACGTTTTTTCAAGTTTTGTTGAAATGAATGTAATGTTATGTCGTACGACAAGAGCATACGCATGTATCTAAAATCCCTTTAACAAATAATGCCTCAGAAACGATTCAGAGTCGAAGCTAAGCAACACGTAGCTCCTGAAGATAATCGATAATATATCCTTCAATTTTTAGAAAGCATGTTTTAGATTTTATAGAATACTTGCCTGGGACCTGTCTTATTAACTCTTGTTGTAAACCACTGAACAAGACACGTTCGATCTTCAGTATTGTACGAAAGAACTACACCAAGATCACGTCGATGATCACAAGTAAACTCAATAACTGATAGTGGAGAGCTTGCATTCTCAGTACTTTCAGTTGGTGCTGGTGAATCGTTCACGGACAAATTCATTGGGATTGGCTGGGAACGACAGTTTTTGTCTTTAAAATAAAAAATATTTAAACTTCAGAATTATAACAGGGGAAAACTGATAACAAGCATAAATGCTATTATAGAAATAATGACACTAGAGTGATAAGGAACTCCAACGAAAAAACCAGCATTGTTGTATTTGGTGATAAACAAGCAAATAATATATATGAGCTACAGAATTAATGTACCGGTCATAAATGCCTCGATTTACATGTATGGCGTCTATAAAGTGGCTCCAGCCACCGACAAACTCAGAGATGCAAATTTCACAGGTTAAGTCAGAAATCCATGGATGTCATTCTTTGTTGTATGACTGAGAGTAACTCACCGGTGTGATACCATTTCAACTTTAATAAATGTCCTCGTAGACATGATGCATGGTAAGGTTGCAAGTAACGATTCATTATCAGAACTGTTGTCGAATTCTATGTTTGACAATTGGGTGTATTATTATTATTACTCCCTTGGGTTACGAGTGGAGCACAGGGCTTCAACAACACATCTCCAGTTTCTTCTATTTTCTGCCATCCTCTTCAACTGGGTCCACGGTTTCCCAAAATCTCCAATCTCTTCCTCACACGCTCTTTTTCAAGTCACCCTCTCACTGACGACCCACTCGTCGCTTCCCACTTGGATTCCACTCGAGCGATGGCCTGCATTGCGCGCAATGTCATTTGACGGTCTTCTAAACGTATGCCCGATCCATCTCCATTTTCTCCTACATATTTGTTGAGCGATCCGCTCTCGCCTGTTGGTCTATTCCCAGCCAGAGTTTCTTGTTGCTAATTACTTCTGACTGGTCATTCGATCTTCATTATAGAGCCAGCGAAGTAGGCGACTGTTGATTAAGTCTCCAGTGGCGTGTTGGAAATCCTCTGCGTGGCACGCAGTGCAAGTTTCTGACCCGTATAGAAGCACTAACTGAATTGACACTTGTGTTGAAAATCCGAATCCTGGTCTATGTGCTGACTGATTTCCAAACTGGTTTCAGGTTGTATCTTGCCTTTCCGATTCCGGCTGGCTGGCTTTGAAATCTTCATCCGTTCCACCTGCAGTTGAAACGATGCTTCCTAGATAAGCGAAAGCAGGAAGTAACTTCTGTCAAATCTCTCCCGTTGATGGTGATCGCTGCTGGTTGTTGTTGTTGCTGATGCTCGTCGGTTATCCTCATCACCTCCGTCTTCTCTATGTTCACCTGGAGTCCTGTCTCCTCCGGCTGCTTCTTCAGACAGTTTTTTTTCGCCTGCAAGTCTTCGAGTTTGTGTGACATTGAACACATATCTTCTGCGAAATCCAGATATTCTAAAATCGTATTATCGGTGATCTATCATAGTCCTGTCTCCTCGCTCCCCGCAGTCTGACGCACAATCCAGTTCACCACAACTAAGAATATCGTCGGTAATAATAGGCAGCCAGACTTGTGTTACTCCTGTATTCACTTCAAACGGCTCTCTGAGTTTTCCGTCCTGGATCACCTGACACGTGCCACTGTCGTGTAGCCGCTGAATGAGGTTGATAAAGACTGATAAGGACAATTTTGAATTCTATCTTATTAAATTTCACACCATGTTATGTAACATTTTGTATTAGCCTGCTAATCCTATAATTATGGGCTTCTCTCCAACATCTATGCACCATACGAATCATTCTATGACAATTTTGCTACCTGACATTTAACAATAATCACCATGCAATTGGTGGATGGTGGCTAGCAGTGGAATCCAGGATGCGCATTTCGTCCTATGGGTACTGGGTTCGAGCCTCAGTGGGGACATCATCACTCACTGAGAAATGCAGGTACATCCAGCTGACGAGTCCCAAATAGGACTAAATGTGCATCCTGGATTCCATTGCTAGCCACCATCCACCAATTGTATACTAACTAAATGCCCGGACATCGTCGAAGCATCTGCACAAGAAGCCGACATATCAACCTGAGACCGAGCACTTCAGTCCAATCAATCGACGCAAAAATTCGATTCAATAATAATCACCATGGTTTATATGTAACGTCGAAGATCATAGATACTTGGAACAATGCAACCTTTCCAGACATTACGCCTAATCATAGTATTGCTAATCCATGACAACATAGATTGAATGAACACATCCACAGTGAAAACCAGCCAATCTGTTTACATCTACCACCTTCAGCTGCCATATCTCAGTGGTGTATAGTGAGATACCGATGACTATCAGTTGATGGGCAAATGGATATATAAAACTACAGACAGAGATGACGGAAGTTCGAAAATCCTAAAACAGACTTCCATATTTTTGCTTAGATTTCGACATAAGCCAACCCCATTAGGATTAACACTACTTCCCAAGTAAGTGAAGTGGTCAACAATTTAAGACATTTCATTATTCATTCATAAATTAGGAGTCAGTTTACACTAGTCCTGCAACACCACCGTACATCAGACAGTAGTGAGTTTTCTCCACGGAGTCCACAAGGCTCCGCATTCTATCAACGTCTTCACTTGAAGAGATGACGTCATCTTCACACTATGGGTTAACGAGACTTTCCCTTGGTAAAAAGTTAATTCATGAAATATCGACGTTCACAAAGGACACGGGCAAATCCATCAGTAGTTCTGTCTCAAAATTTAGTATGAATGGTGACATTGGGCTTCTAACATTGACACCACTGGTCTTTTTCGACTTCAAATGAAAACTCTCCGTAACCCTCCGCATCATATCACGAATTTGAGTAGTGACTTGGATTAATACAGTATACTTTCTCGATATACCCTGAGCAATCAGACATTGCCACAATACAAAACAGGCGAGAGGGTCAGGAGAAATGACAAAAAGTTGAATACCAGTAAATGTGTCTGTGTTCCAGAATTTGAGAAGGATAAAGATATGATCAGCACACCCTAGTCTGGGCTTAAAGTCCTCTTGGTTCCCTGAAATTTGCTTTGCCTGAGCAACACATAATCTTCGCGAACCCCAGAAACTACTATGACCGGTCCCCATCATGTATTAATCATTCCTGTCTCTAAGATACAACAAACAGCTGAGGCCACTGATATTAGCTTTAGTTATCCGATTCAGTAAAAGCCCTGGACAGTTAAAGTTAAATATGAAGTTGTTTCCGTAGTTTCATAAAAATAAGAACAGCGTTTTTCTGGCTCGAGTTTGGAGAAAAAACTGTCTGTGGAATAGTATTGGGGATGCGATTCAAAGTGAAAAGACGAAGACGGTATATAATGAACAGAAACATTTGGTTGACTTAAAGAAATGTGTGGAAGCGACTGTCTGCATTATAGTTCTTCTTAGAGTACTTGACGACGGACTAACGGCACGTTCAAATGTGAAGTTGATAGTGTTTCACTCGTGCAGAACAGCCGTATTGAGGTAGTAGTTATTAATCGGGAGAGCATCTGTTACTTTCTTTGTACGTAAGCTAGCAACAAATTTACTCACCTTATTTTCCTCCTTTCATTACTACCATACTAAGCGCCACTGCACACTATTAAGCCAGGCTTTCCATCTTTTGATTTAATTTAATTGTAAGATTATAAATAAAGATGTAGAAAAATGTTATGTATTATTAAACTTCAGATTGTGTAAAAGAAAACTACTTACCACTCTTCAAGGAAACTAAATATCCAGGGAATAAATAATGTTCTACAAATCCTCCGTATGCTACAATCTTATCACAAGTCAGACCCTTCGATACAGATCCATCGATCCACCTAACATCATACACAGATTTAGTGGCATATACTCGTACAGGCACCCAGTCACCAGGTTTGAACTGACGAGAATTCTCTTCTTGAATCGATAAAATTCGTTGATGATTAGCAGACTGATATTTTGATTTTTTCGTCAGGCGATTTTTTGCCACATCACGTCCATCATTACTTATACTATCAGGTAGCAGACTGATATCCTTTTCATGTGCATTATCTGCAGGTGAATGTGAGTCCTGGTATATACTAGCACCATTTTTCGGTGAGATAACAGCAGATGTAGTAGTAGTAGTAGTAGTAGTAGTAGTAGTAGTAGTGGGTGTTGTTGTCGTCATCGTTATAACAGAATCGACAGGAAGGATTGTTGTTGACGTGGGCGATAATAGTGGCGATGTCACACTTTCAATTGTTTTTAATTTACCATGCGAGTCAACTTTTATAGTGCAATCTGTAGAATTCGATAAACTCTTATCATCAGAATTGGTATTATCGCAAGAAACTCGTTTGCATGTTAACTTAATCACTGGATGATTATTCTCATCGATACTATCGAACAGTTGCTTTTGTGGTTCTTTGTCTGGCTGCTCTTGTGATTCATATTTCCCTCGTTTTAGTAACCTGCGGTCACCTTGTTCACTTCCGTTATCTGTAACATCAGCACTGATGTCAATGAATGAAGCGAAAGATGGATTTTTATTATACCTCTGAACCCAGTTGAAAAGGTTTGCATTAGACAAACGATGTCGCGGATTCACCGTAACTCGTCTACGACGACGCCGTGTAGCGAACAAATTAACTTGTGCCTTTAAAAGATAGTTGGGAAAGTAAGACATGAAAGGAATATCAAAAAACCGAGTGAATTTCAAAAGAATAACTGCAGTGATAATGTTAGATATTTAATTACATTTACTAAACATGACCACTGTTTTATTTAACTATTGTATATTTTGATCATTTCGTCGGAGATACAAAGCTGACAAAACACTTTTACAAGTGTTTGTACTAGGCAATATTAACGTATAGAGTTCGATTAAAAGGTAGTCAGTCAATCAATTCCTAGGTATACCATCAAAATGCTAGCTGTGAGACATACCTCACTACGATTAAAGGCCTCTACTAAAGTATGAGAAGAATGGAGTCAATTTGACTGAATGACTGGTTTCAACATAGAACTTTGCACAGATGCGCAACAGTTCGTGTTTCCACACTCCATGTAGCAAATAAAGCAAGACAGGACGGTAAAGAGAAATCCAAAAGATAAACAGTGACTTGAAGCAAAAAGTGTCGCTTATTGGATATGACAAATCACAACGGATGAATACATCTGAGCGATCGAAAACGATTCTGAGCCATATCACTGACTGTTTACAGCCAGTGGTTCTTACTCTCCCGAGGACCCCATCCAGGAAGTCTACACTTCCCTATGTGGCTGGCTTAAACTAAATGTTTTCGATTTCATTGACCGATGCCATGTTTCAGTTTGACCACCACTGGCTCTTCTCCAACCTGGCCCTATATCAGCTACCCTTGCACGTCGAGGAAGGCGGTGGCTGCGAATGCGTAACACATGACCTAACCATCTCACTCGATATAACTTCACAGCCTCGTCTATTGCTTTCCCCTCCTTACCTAGCACTCGACCGATGTCTAACCCCAATATTTTATTTTTTATTTTATTTTTATTTTTATTTTTGATTACAGCTTGATTCCACACCGTATTTTTGCTACAAGTATGGAATTTTCAGCATGGATATCGGTAGCCCAAATTTCGCAGGCCGACCATAGATATCAAGTGTGCGTCGGCGTGGGCTCGAACCCCGGACCATGTGCATGGTCGGCGAGAGTCCTAACCACTGTGCCACCGACGCACACCTTATTATACCACTTCACACGGGAGATAGAACGCAGACACCTATGATCAAACAAAGTTAGCTATTGCGTATCTTCCACTCTCAGTGGCCATTTCTCACAGCCATAAAGGAAGACGGAGCAGACTGCTGAGCATTACACGCACCTTTTGGTCGATAACCGAATATTACATCTATGCCAAAGACAGTGTAAACTGGAAAACGCCAAACGAGCCTTCAGTATCCGTGTTGAGATTTCGTCAGAGATTAACCCGTTGGGGCTGATGGTACTTCCCAAATAAGTGAAGTGGTCAAAACGCTCTACCATTACATTCCCTATTTTTGAACTAGAATTCAATGTAGTCCATCCCCATAGCATCATCCTACATTTGGCGGGAGCGAATTGCATGCCACACATTCATAGATTGCAGCTCAAGGTGTTCAAAAGACTCTGCATCTCGACAGAGTCATCACCTAGGAAGGAGGACTATACCATCTGCATATTCGAAGTCAATGAGTCCATCACTTCCTGGGTAATGAGTCAATCCCTGAGTCGCTGAAGTCAGTTAGGGTTAACTCTATTGGTACGTCTACGATGAAATTAAAGAGAAATTGGGACAGTGGACGTCCTTGACGCATACCACTGGTTGTCACCACTTCAGATGACAACTCTCCGAAGGCTTTCATCTAGTTGGCTGCATGACTTAGAGTAGAGTACCCTGATCAGTGCAATGTATTTTCTCGTCATTCCCTCTGTAGCCAAGCATCGCTATAGTGCCTCCCGGTCGACAGAATCGAATGACGCCTTTAGGTCAAGAAATATAACGATTGTTGGATGCCGGTAAGTATGCCTATGTTTTAGAATCTGTAGAAGGATGAAGATATGGTCAATACATCCTCATCTTGATCTAAAACCTTTCTCATTTGCTCACTTTTGTTTCTCACGAGCACCCCTTAATCTCCGAATGATTATTGAGTCTAGAACTTTGGATACTATATTAGTCAAGCTAATCCCCCCGTGTTCATCATAGGAAGACTTGTCTCCCTTCTTGTACGTTGGGATAATCAATGACTTACACCAACCCGATGGAACTTCCTATGATTCCCAGACGATGCCTAATAGCTTAGTTAACACAAACAGTAAACTGTCTCCGCCATCCTTAAACACCTCTGGAGTCATTCCATCAGGTCGTGCTGTTTCGACTCGTTTCAGATTAGTGACAGCCTTAGTAACCTCATTTAGGGACGGCGGACCTGTGTCTATATCCCAGTAGGGAGGCGCTGGATGTTCGGTAAGTTGGGTGTGGCTGTAGGCCAATTAAACTGCTCCTCAAAGTGTCCTTTCCGGTATTCCAGTTGTATATCCTGAGAGCTAATTATGGTGCCATATTTCTCAGAGACTATTTCACTTATCAATTGCCTCTTGCGACCTGTTTATCTGATAAGTTTAAAGAGTTGTCTGATATGACCTATCGCCGATGCCATTTCCATATCTTTCGCTTTTGTCGTCCACTGTTCACGGTCGTTGTGAAGATTTCTTGTTAGTTTGCGTTTGGTCAGCCTTCGCTTTTCATCATATTCGGAGCTCACTGGAGTCAGTCTTCTTGCGCTTACCAGTTCAGATGAGGCAGTAGAAATCCAATGGGTCTTACTAACTTTTGGTTTTAGTTCATTAACAGCCCTTACAGCTGTGTCTACAGCTAACTGTGTGTTGTGTCGGGTTTCCTCAAGAGGAGTCTTATTGTCCACCTCAGATACTCGTTTCGCTCTTTCTTCCTTAAATACGAACTAAGTGTCTTGATCTAGCTGGGGGCGTATCTGCTACGCTACCAACAGATTATGTCCGTTCAGTCGTGAGCATAAATGTGAGCGAACCAAGGTGTGATCGGAGTGTACGCACGTGTTCCAGAAGGTGTTTATCTTCTAGTGAATCTCGCCAACGCTACCCTGTCACTATGTGGTCTATTTGAGTCTAACGTTGATTTGGTGTTGGAGGTCGCCAGGTTAGGCAATGTCTCTCTTTGGGCCTTAAGTTAGTACTGACTAGGAACAGATGATTGTATGAACAGATCTGTAGAAGAGAATCACCTTTTTAGATTCGTTGACATGGAACTCCATAAGTACCACCCATATACTCAGTCTGGCCTAACTTCCCTACTTGGGCATTGAAGTCGCCTGCTAAAACAACTATGCCTGAGCTTTTTGCTTTTTTTCGGTAGGAATCATCCTTTGTTTTATCCAAACTGGGCTGTTAGGGCGCAAGTGGAGACTACGAAAAGACAACGCTGGGTAACGCCATCCTTCCTTCTTCTAGCGGACCCGTTCAGACGGACCGCACACATACGACTATCTACTGGGATCCAGTCAAGAAGCGATTTTTCTACCCTAGCAATCGATGCTATCCCTTACACCTGCGACTCCTCACGAACTAGCTGAGGAATCATCTGACACCCTTAAGGTGAATTTCGCAGATTCATCTTGCTGGCCGAGTGGGTCTTGTATGCATGTCTCCAAAACACAACATACATCCATGGAGCCAATTTACGGTCAGTACAGCGGTTGTAACAAAAATAAAATTAAAATAATGAGGTAAATTATGTGGAGTTTCCCAATAGCACACTAATTTGAATCTACACAAACCTAACTAAGACTCGCCAGTGCAAATGAAAGTTTTAAGCGCACTATGCAAATAAATGTTGGGAAATTATAGAGAATTATGAAACATTTTGGAGTATAGTAAGATTATTTACTGCCTACGTTATACATAATTATCAAGATAATTCATTCACCATGCCAAATTCCATAACGAGAAATCCGTCTTGAAATTAAATACAGAGTAGGGCTAGACATATATTATCAACACGTATGAGAGACCGTGCGAAAGAAGAAAATACGGTGTCAGAATGAAAAAAAACTATGAACGCAACTTCAAAGTAACGACTGTCTATGTCAAAACATCACACAGAAGTAAGTACGTGTAGTATTCATTTACACATATTTTTCGAGCATTATTTGATTAATCTGATTTAAACATTGGCATATCCAAAGAGCTCCCCGGAATGAAACTCTGAATATTAGATATTAACGATTTAATGCTGTCAAAATCTTTCTCTTCACGTGTTGGTTTGACATATATTTATCCTAAACGGACTAATATAGGTTTGAAATAGGCAGTTTTTTATAGAAATGTTTTTCGTAAATCAGATATGCTGAAAAAAATATGATTACACCTTGTACAAACTCACCCAAAATGGTGTTGTTCTATCCGTAGTTTTTAAAAATAATTCTGCATTATCACAACGTTCAGCTGAAGATTCGGAAGCGTTATTTTGCCATCCATCAAAATTATTAGCGGACTCCTCATTAGACTTATCTCCAGCAACGAGTATATTTTCCGTCACTTGTCCTGATGATGGAAAAGATGTCCTCACAGACTGTAAACCGGCAGCACCTTCAGTAAACCATTTGTATAATAATTGTCCAGGTCGTGCAAAACTACTTCTTTAAGTTAGAAACAGAGAGTAAAATTATTATTAAAGAAATTTATATGCTTAAAAATGAACAGTCGAATGGGAGTTTTTCTACTCACAATTTGCACAGTAATGACTATTATTATCTAGTCGTGTAACTGACATATGATTTTCAGATAAAGAAAAAGATCTTGTTAACAAATTAATACACTGCAAACAGACAATATTCTACACAAGTGTACTTCCACTTTAGTCACTAGTGATACATTGACTAACTGAAACAGTGCATCACACGACATAATATTTTAATAACAGTTGTCAGTACAAAATCTGTTTTAAGACTAGTGAAATTCACTCATTCACATAAAAATATTTCTGAGTCACACTACACTTTATACACGCGTATATATCACCATATGATATCTGATTTCGCTGTCAAGCCATAGGTATTGACTGCGGTGTGACCACCAGCTTACTAATGCGTCCCCACAGTGCAGTGTATTTAATGCTACGAGTAAAGTGGTATGGCAAGCTTCATTGCAGAATAGCATGAACGGTTTAGCGCCTATATATATATATATATATATATATATATAATCATCCGGCAGTCGACGAGTTTGTATATTCTAAAAAAACAGGTTAGTTAAATATTTAATGACCTAGTGAAATCACTGACAGTAACACTTAATTTTGGATTCCAGTTAGAATCTCGGGAGGTTAGCAAATACGTTACGCTGACAAATTCAAAGCCCCAAAAACAGGCGAAAAACGAAGTGAAATCAAGATCTCGTGAACAGCAAAGTGTTGTAGCTCAGTTGGTAGAGTACTAGTTCGGTTACCCAGATACTATTGCTTTGTGTGGTGTGGCAACCAAGTATTTGACTTCGGCTAGCATTATCAAGCGCTACACGAATATGAATTGGCCAACCTAGAGCTATCGTACGTACATACCACTTTGCCAACAAAGACGAATATACGACATAAAATTGATGGTATAATCAACTTCTCTTGCTTCGCGTGCTACACGGAGTGTGGCGACTTGAACTGTCGCACATTTGTGCAAAGTTCTATGTCGAAAACAGACAGACAGACACGTATAATCAACTAATTACACTTTATCATCCTTTTTGCTTACGTGTCATATAGAGTATCAGATTCCTGAAGCTGATAGTACCAAGTGTCAGTAATTTGACAATTGATAAACGAACTTGGGATAGCACACTTCAAATTCCCCAAATCCAATCCACGAACCACACGCGGAGGTGGTTTATCTGATTGCGAATTTCTTACGGAAACAGAAAAGTGAAAAAAACAAGTTAACTTTATATTAAGAAAAATTGTAAAGAAACATGGTAATAAAATTTCTCAGAAAACTAATTAACTGAATAATACAATCTGCCGTGGCAGGAAAATGGAAGTACTTGATTAACAAGGTCATAAAACATTTTGATAACTTTTGGAGGACTTTATAACAGCTCTGTGGACAGTTATTCTAAGTATCTTGGAAAATCAATACGTATGCTTTGCACTGTTTCCAAGTTTAGCACTTTGATGGTGTAAAGTATTCAACATTTATAAAGACAGCGGTTGGTAACTGATCAACAGTGACTCCAGACGATGGAGTTACAGCTGTTTTACTCCATGGTTAATTTGTATTTACAAACAGTTACAAGTGCTTTTTACATAGGATATAATATCTAACCATTATGAAATAAATTCAAACAAAGAATATAACACTAGGAAAACTTACTGATTAGCGAACCAATGGACAGTAGCCTCGACAGGTGCTAAATGTTCTACGTAAACTTCAACTTCTGTATTTGACTTTAACCGTGAGAGCCATACAGCATTGTGAGCACGTGTCTCAACTAGGAAAATAGGTGTACGCTTTAGAAGACAGGACATTTGTTCAGGATAACGAGCAAATGTTTTAGTTACAGGGTACTGAGAAAGTGCTTGTAGAAATTTGAAGGGATGTCCGGCAGGGTATTTTGCATCCTTGTTTTGTGGATCACTGGGTGCATTAGAGGATGATGATTGAGTATTGCCCACTGAAGCAGTAGCAGGAGTCTGAGTGCTATCACATTTTTTCAAGGAACTCAGAGATAAACCAAAGAAATTGAATTTATTAGACGTGGAATGACTTATGTTACATCGCATCATTAAAGCATCTCCGGTTAACCAAGCGCCTTCAAAAGTATTGAATTTATATGCGTCCGACTTAAATGAAGCAGCTTCAAAGGATTCCAAACAGCTGCCTCTAACTAAAAGTCTAAACATAGAACACGATAAAATTATCAATGAATATTACAGCAACGAGACTCCAACATCATCAAACATTCGCTAAATGTTAAGTGTATTTGAATTCTAAAATCAGCCTTAATGTAATTAACAGAACCTTTGCGTAGGTATCCTTAACAGATTTCACTGTATATTCTGAATAGTAATGCATGCGTTGACCCAGGACATCAGTCCACATGTGAACAGTTACCTGTCACTAGTTATGCGCTCAACTTGGATGCAAACTACCAGGAAAGAAAATCTGTTGGACATACCACCCATTATCACCATAATAGTCTTTCTAATTTGCGAATTCCTATACCATCGTCGTATAAAAATAAGTAATCATATTACTTTATGCCCATTAGTTTGAGCAATTGATGAATTAAAGCTAATGTTTTAAATAACTGCAAATCATCGTAAACATTTAAAATATTTCTGACTGCACAACTGTTTTGAGTACTATTCATCTGTAAGGTTTGCTGTTCCCTCAACCACAAAGTAGTGTTCATTTACATTAACTAATTCCCTAAGAAATCTCTCAATGATTTACACTCGTTTGTTTATAATTCTTTCGTTTATAAGACCGTAAACAGATGTTAAGGTCAAGTAGATTCAACAGGTAATTACACTCACGTGAAAAATAATCAACTGACTGAAGTGAAATTATTTCTTCGACACTTCATAACTATCTCAGTCATTCTCTGAAAAAGTTCCTGAACAATTTATTTTCACATAATGGGAAATTGTATATTATCACCTATTGTTGTGATCAATAATAAAACTTTAGAATCATGTTAATATCTACAGCTGAAAGCGTTATACTAACATAAAGTAAACTCCGATTAGTTAAGATTGGTAATGATATCAACCTATGGCTGACGCAACTTAAGACCTTTACCGATTTTAATATGAAGACACATATAATGAGGCGTTCAAACCAGTGAATTGAATGAGTTTTATGACCCTAGTCAAATACTTATAAGCTGATGATGGTTATTAAATAATAACAATAATCTCCATTCCACAGTATAGACTCACATCCAGACTTCCTTTCTGTCGCTTATTACAGTATCATCAAATATTAACTGTAACGAATAATGTGAGTTGGTGGCAGAGCGGTAGAATGCTCACCAACCCACGTAGGTGGTCCGGGGTTCGATTCCCAGCCAACGCATCCTAGTGATCAGACTGGTAAAGAGGGAGGTGGGGAATGAGGTTAGCAACCTCATCCCGTATAAATGAACACCACTGCTACCGAAACTTCAAACCGCTAACTTGAAGCCCTATGTTCCACTGGGAACGTAAAGGAATACAAAAACATAAAAATAAAAAATAAACGAACAATAGTCAGATACCGGAACATTTGTTCCAATCAGAAATATCAGACAAGAGATCGAAATCAGATCAAACGCATTTCCAAATATAACTATACAGGCATATTACCTATAAAAAAATATATCTCCAGACGCGGTTTAATAACACTCAGAGAAGAATTGTATGTAGACGACAGGGTAAACTGTCAAATATGTTTCCCACAGAGTAACAGAAATGTCATATGAGGCAAAAAGCAACCACAGAACTCCTCATTGAGTCATTTCTTTTTTATTCTTTAATTTTCCCGCAATACACTTTGTGTAACACCTCATAACAAAAGAGCTGGAGGAAATTTAGAGGCAACTCTTCCGATCTAAATCAAGAACGTATCTACCACTTTGAAATTCAAACACACACCACACAAGGGTATTATCGTCAAATTTAATCTTTACTCTCGACTAACATAAGAGGAAAACAATTTATTAACAGTAATTTAATTTATTTAGTGCTTTTTGAGAAAATAGGTAGATAAATTGTATATATATATATATATATCACATGTTCGAATTATAACGGCTAAACGAATAAAGTAGTTTGTAGGCAACACATGACCGCTGTCAAAACTCAGTGATATGAGAACATACGTGAGTAACGCTAACGTAGTACTTAACAATTATTACTTTTATGATTACAAGTACAAAACGTTTTCAGAAAAAAGCAGCTACAAAGAAAGTCACTTGTTTATGTTTTAATTTTTGCAATATCTTCAATTTGTACTTATACCAATCCTCATTTTAATTTCTCTGTTAGATAACAGCAAGCTTACTCTTTTATTGTTGTATTGATAAGAAAAACGATAGATTCTGATAATGACTTGGTTATGCGCTTGGCAAAAATTGGAGTTAAAAAGGAAATATCTTGATACCTAGAAAAATTCTGTATTATGCGAAATCAGTGTTAAAAATCTTGCGTCATCCCTTTTTTGTGTTATTTTAAGTAGTGTTCAGTACTCCAATTAAACAAATAACTTAAAAGAAATGATCTAGTTCAAGTGAATTAATTCCGAATTGGATTATTATAGGACTACATACACTAATAGAAAAAACAATAAATTAAGAGTAGCATGAACACATCGACCAACTTTGCTGGCTTACTGGCTGGTCGTAAGCACGAATAAAAGGAAGACTGAGTGTGCCGCTAGGAACGCTACCGAACAAAAACATATCTTTACCGAAACCCTGAAGCACTGAGTAAAAAGACTTATTCGTCGCAAAAATCGAGAAGACTCCTCAATTCGTGGACGGATGACGCTGATAGGTGAGTCACTTGGCCAACAAGTCTTCTTTTTATAAAAGCAGAAGTATGCATAGGGATATGGCGTGTCAGTACCATGCTTCCGGAACTGCAAGGCAGCTCATATTGCAGAAAAAATAAGATGTAGTATAGAAGTATTACGAATTTGAAGGTAGATGGAGTGGAAATGGACAATTTCCATCCCATTGGGCAGTTGACTGGTGGTTTGTATCTTACACTGTTCAATGTGGAATACGAATGATCAGATTAATGATTACAAACGCACATTATCGGATCAACAAATATCAACCAATAATAGATATCCGAAAAGCAAACCTAGAGAAAACCCTCAACCAGGAACAACTGTCAACGCTGATCACCGCATTTACATTGTCAAGCAGAAAACACAGAGAACAAAGACGAAAGGTCCTCAAAACCAAGCTAGCCAAGATTAGCAAACAACAACTAGACAATACACCTATAGACTGCGTAGTCAACCTATCAGAACAACCACTATCAAAAATGGAACAACAACTACTACAAAAAGGATTAAACTACAACACCGGAGATGCTTCGAAAACTGATTTCTTCGCTGCTCTTGAATCATTACTCAAATCATCAAACTTGAACGAGGAACTACAGGAAGAGATACGCCAAACAATTGTACCAATGGTCAAACAGAAAAATAACACACACAACTCAACTCTCAAGAACTAAAGGCCCTCAAAAAGCTGAAAAATAGGAAGGACATCGTCATTCTATCAGCCGACAAAGGAAGAACAGTAGTCATGGACAGAGAAGAATATACCAAGAAAGCTAAAGAACTACTCAAAGACCAGGATGTATATCAACGACTCCCAACAAATCCCATACAAACACTGAACAACCGCATCCGAGGGACCTTAAACAAGCTCACCAAAACTAGACAGATCACAAAACAAGACCAATGGCAAATGAAATCCAATGGACCATTCCTACCTCCATTCTACGGCAGACCCAAAATACACAAGGCAAATATCCCGTTACGACCAATTGTATCACTCCCAGGAACTCCAACATATAATTTATCCAAAGAATTATACAGAAAACTAAGACAACTAACGGAATCTTGTGATCGCTCCATCAACTTTGCTATCCAATTCCTAGAGAAAATCAGAGGTATCCAAATAGATGAACAAGCAATAATGATATCCTTCGACTTTACAGCATTATATACCTCTTCGGACAAAAACTAGCAAAAGAAACCATGGAGCAATTACTTAGCAACGACGAACAACTTCCACAACAATCAAAAATGCAACACACAAGCTAGATGGAATGCATAACTCTATGCCCAACAACATACTTCCAATCCAACGGTCAAATATATGAACAAGTCAAAGGAACACCCATGGGATCGCCAATATCAGGTTTGATTGCAGAAGCAGTGATGCGAAGGCTCGAAAACATAATTCTACCAAATATCAAACCCAAGATTTGGATACGATACGTCGACGACACATTTTTAATAATCAAAAGAAACGAGTTAGATAAAACTCACAACTTAATAAACAACGTCTTCAACGACATCAAATTCACAAGAGGAGAAGAATCCGAGAACCAAATCCCATTTTTGGACGTCTTAGTCAAGCGAACAACCACAGGGGAGTTAGAAACTCAAGTTTATAGAAAATCAACCCACACAGACCAAATCCTGAATTACGACAGCAACAATTCAATGACACACAAAAGGAATTGCATACAAACACTATTCTAGAGGGCAATGGCTTATTGTAGCACTTCCACCTTAAGGAAAATTGAAGAAAAGTATCTCATGGACGTCTTTTAAAAGAACAGATATCCACGGAGTTTCATCAGAAGACATATACCCACAAGCCAACCTATCAAACCAAAAGCCCCCAAGGAAAGCACAAAGAAAATCGCCCTACCATATATAAAGGATATCTCAGAAATCACTACAAAACTCTTCAAACCTTTAGGAATTGACGTCGTACACAAACCAACAAAGTCACTTCACTCAGGTCTATGTCAACCAAAAGACTCAACAGCGAAAGAAGATAAAACCAACATCATCTACAAAATAAATTGCAGCAACTGCGAAAAACACTACATTGGCCAAAGTGGATGTCCCCTTCGTCTTCGTATCCACGAACATAAGCTAGCTGTCAAGAGACATGATATCCACTCCCTCATATCACTACACACAGACAACCACGGACATCAATTCGACTGGGACAACGTTCAAATATTAGACAGAGGAAACAACAAGAATGCTAGAGAATTTTTAGAAGCTTGGAATTCTAGTGAATCATCAATCAATAGACACATCGAGATAGACAAAACTTATCAACCAATAAGAAAGAAACTTCACACACAAAGGGTCAAAGTTCAAGTCAAAGAAACAGTCAGTTCCAAGACAAGTAACCTAGAAGATGTAAAAACACACAAAAACAACCAATCACTACGTTGAAGGTGATCAGGAGAGATGATTAATAAACTCGTGGAGAAATCTAAAAGCTAACTTCAAACTGAAGTATGCGCTGAAGATGTCACCTAGTAGGGTGATGAAAGCTTCGCAAATCAACTATCCAGCTCAGAGAATACAACCACCTCAAAATTTATAAACTTTATTTAACAGCTATATGACGGTCCTGTATTACAAGTAATGCATAACGAGAGGCGCAGAGTTGTTTGAAATGATGATAGAAGTACAGTGCTACCTAATATCGCCGATTATATTCCTCACTCTCTGTCTGTTTTCGACATAGAACTTTGCACCGACGTGCGACAGTTCGAGTCGCCACACTCCATGTAGCACACAAAGCAAGAGAACAAAGTACAAGAGTACACAAGAGGTGTGAGACAAAGAAAGAGTATAAACGAAGAACAAAACAGTTCCATTGGAAATCATGAGTCACAAGGAGTGGATGCATCTGAGCCACTGAGAACGATTTTGAGCCATGTCACCCATTGTTTCCAACCATTGATTTTTACCGTCCCGAGGACCCCAACCAGGAAGTCTACACCTTCCTACGTGACTTAGACTAACTGCTGTGGATTTCATTGACTGGTGCCATGTTTTGATTTGACCGCCACTAGCTCTCTCCCAGCCTGACCCTATGTCAGCTACCCTTGCACGTCGAGGAAGGCGATGGCTAGGCATACGTAACACATGTCCCAAACACCTCAGTCGATGTGGCTTTACAGCCTCGTCGACTGATTTCCCCTGTTTACCTAGAACTCGACGGATACCTAACCTGAATATTGCTCACCTTATTATGCCACTTCACACGGGAGATAGAACACCGGCACCTATGATCAAAGACAGCTAATCTTTTCATGTCTTCCACTCTCAATGGCCAGGTCTCACAACCATTAAGGAGGATGGAACGGAAGGATAAGCAGTACACCCGCCCTTTGGTCGATAGTCGGATATCACGTCTACGCCAGAGACGGCGTAAACTGGTGAATGCGAAACGAGCCCCTTGTATCCGTGCTGAGATTTCGTCAGAGATCAACCCGTTGGGGCTGATGGTACTTCTCAAATAGGTGAAGCGGTGGACGTGCTCTACCACTTCACTCCCTATTTCTAAACTAGGAGTCAGTGTAGTCCAGTCCTGTAACATCATCTTACATTTGGCGGGAGCGAGTCGCATGCCAAACACTCAAAGACTGTTAATCGAGGTGTCTAGAAGACTGCATTTTGTCAGCGTCCTCGTCTAGAAGGACTATATCGCCTGCATATTCTAAGTCAACGAGATTATTCCCTGATAGCAAGTCAATCCCTCTGTCTCTGAAGTGAGTTAGGATTAAGTCCACTAGTACATCTATGATGAAGTTGAATAGAAGTGGGGATAATGGGCATCCCTGACGGACACCACTAATCGTCACCACTTCGGATGACAACTCGGCGTAAGCCCTCGCCTGTCTGCATGAGTTCGAGTAGAGTGCCTTGATCAGTGCAATGTAATCCTCACTGGAGTGGACTGCATCGTGAAACAGACCGTGGGGAGTGGGAGGACCGATACACAACTGACTGACAAAAAGTTTCCAGAAGATCTAGACTTTGCGGATGATTTGTTTCTCGTTGCACAGAGTGGAAGGTTTACAGGCAAAAACCAACAAGTTGTCAGTAGAGGCAGTTAAGACAAGACTTCAGGTTAACAGAAACGACAGATATGACGAAGATACCTGACTAATACCATGCACCGATCATCATCAGTGAGAAATCAACCCTCTCGCTCATCCTGCAAGCATCATTTCGTTTAAAGACGGCTTAGATGAGGACGTTAGAGCAAGCCAGATTCACATCAGGAGAGTACGTTAAGTGTTCATTGCTCTGAAGTCAGTGTGGAGGTCCATAGCATTCAGGGCAATGAACAGGATTTTAGTTTTTAACACTGATATGAAGTCAGTGCTTCTATATGAATCACAGATCTGGCACGCGCGTCACCGAAAGCATTGCCAACAGTCTTTCGAGTTGATTTTCATCAACACCTGACTTCGCTCGATACTGAAGCTTAGACAGCAGGCCAGAAAGGATAAGCAACAAGTAACTCTGGCAGGCACCGAATCAGCCAACAATTTACTGTCCAAGAAATATCTATAGAGAAATGGAGATGAACTGGATATATGCTGTGGAGACCATCAGATGACATCACAAGCCAGGCTGTCACGTGGAACCATGGTGGGAAGTGACTGATTGAGTGAGCGTCCGAGGGTGAAATGCGAGAAACCATGCAGAGAGGAAGGCTCATAGATAATCGTTGAGTCGGATGAAAGTGATAATAGAAGACTAAGTGCAATGGCGATGTACCTCTGAAGTCCTACATACCAATCGGAACTCAAGGGACTAATAATAATAATAATGACGATAATAAACACGTCAAACACTATAGAACCGGCCTATCAAGTCGAAATATAATGAAAACAAAATACATTGTATATTATGTGGAGACTGTAACACTGACAGCAGTCAATTACATTGAAGCTTGTAGCCAATAAATTTCTAGAACATAAGTTATGTCACTATGTCTCCGTAAAAATTGGTATCCGGTGAACTACAGGTTATTGCTGTAAATTATCATTACCTGGATGAATAATGCTTACACATTCCGAAAAACAAACGTTGGGTTTGAATCATATTGAGAACGCCAACAGACTAGGGTTACACTCAACTAATAAGTTTTTCATAAACAAAAACGCTGTTTATAAATGTTGATTGGCAAGGATTTGAGCGGTTCCAAGTTAAATCACGAACTGACACTGATTTCAGTTCATGGTCTAATCACAAAAGTGCTTCTTCGAACCGCTGAAAGTGATTGTTAAATAATGGAATTATCTCTTTACGTCTGATTAACTTAAACTAATGTACCTAGAACGGAAATTTCATAGAATAACTCTACTTTTTCTTACGTTATTTTACTTTAAATATCTAAGGACAAGTTCATTTCTATGCAATAAGCTGGTTTCCTACATCTATCATCTTACAACACTGGCAACAAGAAATGTATTAGAAAATACGTTTTTCATTGGGAAGTAATGCAGCTTTACTTTTTTAAAAATGAGCAGTGACTGCTTGATGCTTAAACAAGAGTATGAATCTTTCTAAATATAAAATCCCATTATTATTCTATACTTCCAAACTGTACTTTTGATATTTACGTTATTATCAGGCAAGCTCTAATCTGTAAAGAAGTCTTCTAATATGATCAGCAACCGCCATGTAACTCACCGTGCTCCATCCAAAAACCGAACAATCGCTAAAAGTCGACAGTCAGAAACCCTTCCAAGCCAGCTATTCCAAATTACATAGTTTTCGTCAACCAGTGTAGTCCACGGCTATAAAAAAAAAATATAAAACTATAATAGTTAAACTAGCCCTAATTTTACAGTATTGCCATTCATTTATCACTTTCACTACGTAACGACAGATAGAAGAGTGAAAGGACTAATTCAAAAAAGAGCATAAACTGACCGCTGGCAATACTTAAATTTGTATTTACACGAACAGATTGTAGGATTGATCATATGTGATGACCAGTGACTTACAGTAAGAGCTATCGAACGAATTAATGGGAATTTTGTCATGAGTAGCCACTGTAACTATCTCTCTTAATCTAGGAGTAGATATGAGCGTACAAATGAATATTATGCATTCGATAGGTCAACCTCTCTGCATGTGCGTCGGTGGCACAGTGGTTAGGACTCTAGCCGACCATGCACATGGTTCGGGGTTCGAGCCCACGCCGGCGCACACCTGATATCTATGGTCGGCCTGCAAAATTTGGGCTACCGATATCCATGCTGAAAATTCCATGCTTGTACCAAGAGTACAGTGTGGAATCAAGCTGTAAATCAAAAAAATATATATATCACAATCACATTCATGTACCTGACTTGTGTAATTCAAAGTCTGAATCCCACCAGTGTCTTTACCTAACAGGCTTATATATTGGTACATACTACAGTGTTAAGTGTTCGCCTGTGAAGAATCAACTTCTGAGAAGCAAAAAATGAGCAAAATCACAAATTTCAACTAATATGTTGATAATTGATAAAAAGCATAGTCTTCCAGACAATCTTCCTACTATGATACTATTCGAGACAATAAATGTTTCAGTTAGCGTTGTTACAGTGAATCTATCATGTAAAATAGCGACTAATACATTAGCAAAAATTCGGTAAATGGAAACACTGATCGAGATGTGATGGGGATGAGAGTGTTTTCATCTCAAAACCACGAAGTTGAGGTGATGCGAAGCAGGACTCCCTTGACCATACAATCTTAGTTGTTTTACAATTTGACTGGTGGTGATACATGACCATCACTTCAAAAAAAACACCTTAACTGCAACTAACAGAAAGAATATTCAACAGAAACGTACTTGGACACTCAAAGCTGTAGAAAGTCACGCCTTATAAACAGAAAATGCAATCAAATGTACAAAGATGAGACACAATTTACTTACATAGACACTTCTGAGGTGATTACAAGGAACATCAAAAATAGCCCTTTGGTAACCCAATATCTCAACATGAGCACTCAAGTAGACATTTGAGACAGTTCCGATTGTATCAGTTTCTAAATTTTGAACGACCTCTCCAGGCATATAACTTCTGTCAAGAAAATGAACTTGACTTAGTTTAAGACTGTTTGGTGCAAAATTGGCATCTCCAAAATGTTTCCAGCTAATTTTAACCTAAAATTCACACAAAATATTACCATGCACTACTATATACAATAAAAATACTATTTCCGTTTTTAACAAGTACGATAATAATTGTTTTATTCAATAATAAAGACTTTGGCTACTTTATTCATTTATCTATTCGACAAAGCATTAGATTATTTCATGAAGTGACAATGTCGTCAGCTTTCCCAAATAAGTGTGTCCTGTGATTAAATACGGAAAAATGAGACTGCTACTGTCTTTATTAACATTGTTTGTTCGTCGTTTATTCATTGTGAACTACTCAGGAGCTTAAGCATCTGATAGTCCGCAAAAGAAAACTAAATTAGTTGAAATTATGAGCCAACGTTACCTGTACCGACTGGGACGTTGCGCACGTCAATCCATTATATGCCCGCAGAAACTACGCTGGTAAATGCGAAGAATGAGAACATGAAAACATAGCACTAATGCGCCTGATTGTTGATCCAACCCAGCTAAGCAGATGTAGGCTTACTGTTGGGGGCTGATGTTAATTTTCCAACTGGTTTTCCTGTTCTATTTCAGCAATCTAAAGTACAGAAACTTGTGCAACCACACAGAAGTCACAGTGGTATTTACATAGGGGTTTAGTTACACTGTTAATTTGTTTTAATTTTATAATTCACCAGTCAGAATTTTGCTACATAGAGTCGTGGCAGTCTGATAAAAACAATAAACTTAACAGAATCGATGATACCACAGCTTATTCCGGTTACGATGTATACCTACAAATGTCACATCGGAATTATGGGGCAGTGAAGTCGGATTAATAAAAACTGGAACTCTTTTCTGATCCAGAAACAAAAGGAAGGAGAAAAGATGAAATTCTAATGTCAGTAAAAAGTTTGGGCATTATGGAATAGACTAAATAAATTATAGTTACACCTCAATGGTTTACGTCCAACACTTGGTGTGATCATGGGGAGTAATTTTTCTCGAATTGTTATCAAAAAGAAAAACTTATCATTGTGTGTAAACTATTGAAATAGAATTATAATTTACACGAAATTCTAATGTGAAAGGACAAATGCCGCCTAATCTTCTTGAGCCAAGAATAAACACCCGTATGTGACCAAAACAAACAGACATCTTGAATTAAAGTCCATTCTAAACAATGATGCTATAACAAGTATTCATGCCGCAAGCCGAAAATTATTACGATAACTTCAGGGTCATTTAAATAAACCTCCGACTGTTTGAAAACAACATAATTGGTTAAGGTGATGCAACTTTTACCACAGTAATCGCTCATCGATGATTACATGAGTGGATCAAGTGTTCAACTTAGAACTCGATAGGACTAACTTCAGACTACTATTTTTAGCAAAACTAATAAGTTTTTTTAATCACACTTAGTTCAGATTTGGAAAGGGGAATGTTGTCCGGAAACCACTCGCATTCCCATAAAGTTGACGACGAGACTCAACTACTATTAGACGGGTAACACTACAACCTGAATGCTGAAACCTCAAGAAGTGGTGAGGTTCGGAAGCGTAGTACAGTGCTCAATTCAATGAACTACTGCTCTGACTTTTCGTCATTTAGTGCAAATAGCTTTATCAGCGTTACTGAACCAGAATTTTCAAAACCTAAGCTCATATACAGTAACTTACTCGTAATTCTACAGCATGAGATAAATTCTATGCTGTCAAGTAAGTTAATTGGTAGAGAAAACACAACAATATGCAGATTGTCTGCTTTGATAAGTGTATAAAATTCTAAAAGTAGCATGTGCTTACATAGTGAAATAGCTTTTCACGCTGGTGTTGGTCTAGTCACTTCATGAGGTTGCTGTCCTAGTCCATGATTACTATTCAGACAATTCGGATTCCATGTAATATGAAGTGCTTCTGATACGACACGTTCGTTGCGAGTTTTGATTTCAATATTAAAATCAATTTTGAGGCTGAATCTATAGCGTGTAGACCTATGACTGATAGTTTCTCAAACTTCTAGTTCCACCGTTAAAGTACCAGCATTAAATAAAAAACGTTAGTAAAAAAAATTGTTTTGCTTTTCACTTATTAGGAGATTTAAAAAACTTTTAGAATAATGAATATCATATACCCCATACCCAATTTTTTTTTAATTATTGAACTACCCACCAAGTGGCGGTCTAAGTACACTCTTCGCGCTAAGGAAAATGGAAGGAAATTCTGAAATTACCACAAAGACATTTCACGGTAAACGCACATCAGAATACAGAGTACAGAACATCAGTGATAAATGCATTCTCCATGTCATTTGGAAGTGAAATACATCAGTCTTTTATATTACTGCCAATATTTGAAATTTAGCTGACTTAATTCTTTTGTTACTCCTTGCATCTCAAACAGAGCATAAGGCATTAAACTTCCGACGTTCCAGCAGCTTCCTTCTTTTCGAGGCTTACGAACGGCGGAGGTCAGGAGTGCCTCAAACGGGATTCTAACACGGACGTCACTCGCGGTTGACGAACATTGGACCATTCGATTAGTAAGGCACAAACTAGACAGTACTAGACTGCTGCTCTGTTTTGTCCGGGACTCTAGCACTAAGCAACCAAAACCCCACAGGAAGAAACCTAGGATGAGACGAGACCAATGACTATTCAGCTACTAAGATATTAAATTCTGTGGAAGACTGATATCTACTTACCTTGACTGAACTCAGATTACGGGAAAATTATATAAAACACCATACAATCATATAAAGTACAAATAACGATCCTACTTTTAATACTCAATGGAGGCAAATATTTCACCTCCATTTTATCTTGGGGAAATGTTTCCTCATATCCGACAAACGTGGAGCCTTAATACATACATCTTATGCATCGTAGGAACAATTGCATTACAACTAAGGAAGACGTTCTCACACTGACTCAACTATAAGGAATAGATACCACGATCTAACAGTGAAAACCAGTGTTAACCTTTCAAAATGAAACTGGCTTATGCTGTCAAAAAAGAATGCCTATGAGAAAGCAGGGCATATTTTGGCAGTCTCCAGACGTATATTTACATTGGAGGGTTAACGATGGAAATGGTTGGCTGAAGGTTGATTGGATGTAAGATCTATCCTTTATAGTCGCACGCAGTAGCAATTGAGGCTCCCAGAAAATCCCAATGATAAGTACGAAGTTCTACTGGACACTTTGGTACACCGAAAAGGTTTACGCCACCTACAAACATGTTCTATTAAACAGAAATCGCTAAGATCATATGAAGTGAGTTTTTCGACCAAAATGGCAACCAAAAACCCAGAAGAAAACTACTCGGGAAATTCGAAAACAATTTTCAACCAACATTCAAGTGTTAAAGCTTACATCGATGGGCTTACACCAATACAAGTCATTAAAATTTAATGACTACTAGAGGCTTGGTAGACTAACGAAAGTTTACCATACACCCCTATCAATCGAACTGCATGTTCCCGCATAAACGTTTGTCGCGATCTCAACTGGCATTTTATGGTGGTCTGTAGTAACTTGGTGATGTGACAGAAGTATCATACGTTTGAGTAGCGCTTGTACACGAGTAAGCCTACAATAGTGTCATATTGTAATGATTTAAAGAAACTCTCAAAGTAAAAATAACTCAGGACAAAACGTACTAAGATAACGAGGTAGATAAACGGACTGTTTGGGGGAAAACGCACTGGCCTGTGTGATGAAACAAACTGTCACTGTGAAATTCCAGGACAACTATACACCATCATGCATACCATCAGACCAAACGAAGCATAGTGTCAAAACATAAATTTAAAACGTATTCGAAGGGCTACAAATATTACCATGCGATCTTTTTCATCTCTTTTTTTATGTCCACTTTCCGTCTCACTGTGTTGTGGGCGGTCATCTACCGTCACAACAGAGCCAATAAACGCGCATTTGGAGTCGTCATGCAGGTAATAAACAATATCATCTTTAAACACATCCTGATGGGACACCATATGTAAGATAACAACCCCTCGTGTTAAAAGAGTCGAATACTGCGCGTAGTCTAATACTGTCTCAGGCTGAAGGTCATGGTTGATTTCATATATTTAAACCCAGAGGCTGCTGTTGCATGAAGATCATAACAAAGTTGCTCGAACGAACTCACTTCCCTGGCAACAAATGTTCATGTTCTGCTTCTTACAACAAAAGGCCAGTTCGTTTGCTGAGTAAAGACCCATAAAAGCCTAGAATTCTTTTACATCCCTACAAAACTTCAAAGTCAAGAAGTTTTGTTTTATGATAACCATTATCCTCCGGCATTCGATTTAAATAAGTTCCAATACTTCATTTCCCTGTCAAAATGTTAGGTTCACGATAAATAATTTGATAGCAAACTAAGTTAGAACTAGTTAAATAAACTTCAAAAAGGTTCAAATGTCATTTAATGCTAATGTTTTCTTCCTCAAGGAAGCCACACAGTGTAAAGCGACTTTGCCAGTAGAAGTGTGTCCATATTTCATGCAGCATTGAACCCAGGGTTGACAAGCTGAAGCAGCTAAGATAAAGAAATGTGGTTCGGTGGTACAGTAGTTAGGACGCTCCCCTACCTTGCATATGTTAAGTGGTTCGATCCAGGCCGACGCACACCTGATATCAATGATCAGCCTACTAAATCTGGGTTAGTGACATCAGCTGCTGAAATTTCCATAGCTGTGCCAAAATAGTGTGTGGAATCATACTATAATAAAAAAAATTCAAAACCATAATAATTATTATGTCACGTATTTCCTATGAACAACACATGTTCGAGTAAGTGGTATGTCCACGTGTGATTAAAAGCAATCTCAGGAAGAGAACTTCCAAAGAACCTGGAAAATGGTATAAAGCAAAATAAAGAATAATATATCACCGAAAATACATTTACAAAATGTATACAAGAAGGGGCTTAAAATGATAATGCACACTTGCAATATGTAATGCTAACCATATTAATGTTAGCAGGGAAACTACGACATTTTCGATGAAAACAGCCTTTTTAAACCAATATGTTTTTGTGTGTTTTTTAAACAGCACAAGCAGACCTTAAAGGAATAGAGAATTCGAATGAAGAGTAAGTTTTAGCTTCACTAAAGGCCTAGGTATTTAAGATAAAATAGAGTATAATAGTTCGTGGCCGAAAAATTATCATGAAATGATGGCTTAGTAAGAAGCGGCTTCAAATATTAGGACTTGTAGGAGTTGCTGACATGTAGGATGTCTCACGAACTTGTGTAGAGCCCATGGGGTGGCAATAGATAAGAAGCTGGGCAAACCTATATGTGTTATGAGCAGAAACACGTTTCCTTTATTATTTAGATCAGAATGATCGCAAGGCAGATTATGTATGCGTGATGCAAAGCTGTGTGAAAAAATTGTTGAAAACTATTTCGTCTCTCCTACGTCATGCTCCACTGCATTCATGGTAACTATATCTGAAGCTGGTCAGCTTTAATGGAGGTAATTAAAGAGAAAATATTATATTATTGTTGCTACCTTGGATCCTGAGTGGGATATAGGGCACAGCACATCCCCATTGCACCCCGTTCTCTGTGTTCTCATCTAGCCGGCCCCTAATTATCATTTATCTTTGGGCCTCTCTATATCACTGTCCGTCGCCAAATTCACAATCTTTCTCTCAGGTTCCACACATAAGTCTGACGCGTGATATCATTCAATGGCTTCCTCAGCGTTTTACCAATCCATCTCCATTTCCTTCTGCAAATTTTTCGGGTGATAAGTTATTGATTGTTTTGTTTCTAAGGTTCCTCGCAGGTAAATATTTCAGGTGTTGTGATCTCCAATACAGAACGGAGGTGGCTGTTGTTAAAAGTCCGTGGACTCTTGGAAACATTGTCTCTTACGTGCCCAGTTTCTGACCCATAAAGAAGGACCGGCTGATTAAGCACTAGTGTTTTTATTTATAAATTCAGAAAACAGCGGATTTGCGAACTGATTTCAGAGAGATAAAGGTTTGCCTTGTTTTTCTCACCCTGCTTTTCTCACCCCCATCCATGCCACCTGAATCAATTTGAAGTGAGGTACATTGATAAATCAAGTAGAAACGTAAACCAAATTCAACTACTGAATGCGGTTGTCAATATAGTTGAAGAATGAACGATCAATTCATGGTTGTTTGCTCAAAATCAACTTCCCCAATTTTCGCGGAGGCATCAATACGACAGTCATCGTCTCATCGGTCGCTGTTCAGAAAGAAGTCAGGAGAAAACCGTCAGAAGTAATATTGTGATTTATTATTGTAATATTTGTTTTCAGACCTTAGTTGTAACGGTGTTTATATGTTGGTGTTAGAATAAAGAATCCTCGAGTCGCCAATTGGTGTTTTGGTTTTGCGTCCGTTCGTACTAAGCGTTTCTGAGAAGCTTCAAGGAACAGCGTGAGCCCGAGCGTAGCAAGAGCTGGGCATTAACGGTGTAGGAGACGTGGCTGACAGTTAGTGACAGTGAAGTCAGTTTCTGACGTATTCGGACAGTTGGTGACAGTTTGGATAGTCACCATTCATCTTTCCTGGTGCCGGTCAAGTCCTCTTTGAACAAGCAATATCTGGAACTTTTTTGGAATTGGTTCATGTTCAACAATGCCTGGGTCAAAGAAGGCACAGAGCGTCTTGGATGCAAACAGGAAAGTAAGTCATGTTGACTTGTCTGTTACTTGTAACAATGTGTCTGATGTTAAGCCTGACATGGTTGATGTTTCTGTTTCGCCGTCTAGGGGTAGAAGGATTATCAAAATCCCTAATTATGAACCTCGGTGTTTCGACGGAAACCCAGCTGACTGTTTGCAGCTTGTAAGAGAGTTTGAGATCATGTTAAGTAGTTTTTCATTAAACGATGAAATGAAGTTGATGTATTTGATGAGGTATTGCACTGGAGATGCTTCAAGAGCTGTACAGTTATGTAAGCTCATGCCCCTTAATGAGGGATACGCTGAGGCTATGGGCATATTACGTCAAAGGTTTGGAAGACCTTCAATGATTGTAAGGAACGTATTCGAAGCTGTCAAATGTAACGGCAGTCAACTACAAGATGACTCCAATGCAGTTACTGAGTTTTTGGATAATCTGATGACTTGTAAGAATACGTTGACTTCGATGAATTGCATGAGGGATCTGAACTCAAGCTCAGTCTTAGGGGTAATAGCGAGAAGCCTACCTACTCGACTGCAAAGAAAGTGGGTGAAGGTAAGCTCTCGTATAGAGGATGAGGTTATCGAGCCAAGGTTTGATGATATTCTGAAATTGGAAAAGGACAGTGTCAAACAGGCGATGGGCGAATTCGCTAGCATTTCGCATTCTAAGTTAGAACCTAAGGAACCAGTGAATATAAGAAAAGCATTTGTGGTGAAGTTTCAAGACACAGCGAGGAAGGACGAGTGTATTGTTTGCCATAACATGCATCAATTGAATGATTGCAATCGCTTTATTGCTATGTCACCCGTAGAAAGGTTAAAAATGGCAAAACAGAAGCGGCTGTGTTTCAGTTGTTTAAAGATTGGGCATACAAAGTGGAATTGTAAGGCGACAAACAAAGGAAGTGGTGGTTTAACGGATATGCACCCACTTCTGAGGACAGTAAACGAAACGGGGAATTCGGTTAATTGTAATAGTATCTCTAGACCCCTTGACACCCCACAAGTTTTCTTAGGGGTATTACCAGTTAAGGTGAAAGGACCGAAATTTTCAGTAGAGACTTATGCATTGTTGGATAACGGTTCAGACGTTGCATTGATAGATGCTAAGCTGGCTGGTTGCTTGGGTATTAAAGGCCCAAAGCAATCCTTGGTTGTAAATACTTTCAATTCTTCGAAAACGGTAGTATGTGAACGAGTGTCATTTCAGTTAGAATCCTCGACTACTGGGGAAACCGTTGAAGTAAATACTGCTGACACTACCTCCAGTATGAAACTCGGCGAAGCTATAGTACCTAGTCGTGAAACGGTTGTCGGTAAGCCATACCTGTGTGACATACCGCTTCCAACACTGCAAGATGGAAGAGAGAGTACTCATTGGATGTGGTGTGCCAGAAGCTAATAAGGTATTAGAAGAGAGATTCGGAGGTAGAGGTGATTTGTTCGCGACGAAAACACCACTGGGATGAACAGTGAGAGGACCTATACCCATAGTCTACATATCATCATTAGCTGCAAACGATGGAGACAAACTGGAGACTATGATTAAAAATATGTATGACAAGGAGTTTTCTGACTGCGGTGTCCCAGGGAAGGGTCATTCCATAGAAGACCTAAAGGCAGTTAAAATCGTTGGAGTCTTGTAAATACGAAAGCGGACGTTTCAGCGTTGGCCCACCATGGAGATTCAAAGATAGACAGTTGGTTTGTAATAGAAAAGTTGCTCTTAAGAGACTAATGGGTTTACAGAAGAAATTTCTGTCAGATGCAGAACTCTGGGCCAAATATAAGGATGTCGTCGATAAACATATAATGAAGGGTTACGTTGGAAGACTAGTTGATCAGAGTGAAACAGGGAAGTGGTATTTGCCCCATCATCCCGTCTTTAACCCGAGGAAGCCAGGTTAACTCCGTGTGGTGTTTGAATGTTCTGTGAAACATGAAGAAGTCTCTTTGAATGATAATCTGTTTAGTGGCCCAGATTGCGAGAGCTCATTAGTGGAACTGCTGTTAAGATTCAGAAAGCTTACAGTCGCTGTCGCTGCGGATATTGAGGAAATGTTCCTACAGGTGAAGGTGCCGGAGAGTGACAGAGATCACTTAAGGCTCTTGTGGTTTGATGACGGTCCTTGTGGTAAGGTGACAGAATATAGGAGGACAGTGCATTCATTTGGTGCCACATCCTCCCCATTTTGTGCTAATTTTGCTCTACGAAAAGCAATGTCCACATTCAGTTCTAATGATCTGCGGGATGTAATCGATTGTTGCATCTACGTGGATGAATGTTTAGCCTCCTACGATGATCATAAGTGTAAATGCAGTTGACGATTGAACGATCAATTCATGGTTGTTTGTTCAAAATCAATGCCATTGCGAGAACCTTGGTCACACGGACAGAGCTGAAATGGAAAACAAACAGAAAAGCCAACACACCACAAGC